CGCATGCGCTTTAGGAAAATTTACAGGCCGTGATGGGAAGCCGCATATGGGTATCGGGAAACATAATGGGCCAGATATGACAACATATACGTTGAGTAAAGATCGACAAGACAAGATTGATGAAGGATGTACCTATGAAACGAAACCGACCAGAGGAGCGGAGATGGTGTGAACAGGGTGCAGAAATTCATTAGAATTTAGGCATCTATGGAGGTTTACGTATTGCTTTTTTATTATTTCTCTTCTTTATTTGTTTAGAATACTTCTTTATCTCATAATCTTCAATTAGCTTTGCATCTACTGCGTTATTTTTCTTTTTTCAAAATAATAAAATAGGGTTATCATTACTAGGACCACTCTTCCAAAAAAGAAAAAGTGTGTGACCGAGTACACCTGTGGACTTCCACATGTTTTGGTACTCTCAGCGCGCGCGACTACTACATACTAGATAATGTAATGGTACACGTTGGTGATTGATGTGAACGGAACAAGAACTGTGTAAGTACCCGACCGCAATGGCCTCATTCCTACAGTACGAAAAAAGGGGGTGGGATCACTATCATAGCATTACCGATATAAGTAAATTATAGTAGTGATACAGTAATCGTATCAGTGTAGTATTTTGTATACTATTTAATTTTTCAGAATACGGAAATTGAAGAAATACGGTAAGAATAAGGTAGTAGCCAGAACACGTGTTCCAGATTATACTGGGTTAACTGTAGTACCGAACTTTATTCACTACAGCAGCACTCCAGTAGAACTACGGGATATAGGGATATAGGGATATACTTAAAACTTTCAACACCTAACCCTAATTCCGCATTTCAAGCTTGAAGCATTTCAAATATGAACATCGCCAGATGTTAATTTATCAATAGATCCCTGAAGGTTCATCCTCCAATGATGGGCGTTCCAGAACTGGGATATACTTTTAAAAAATAAATTTTCCTGATCTAGGCGTAACATCTCACGCGAAAGACCTCAGGTAATCCTATCAGCCAATGGTGATAATAATTGCAATTAAACCGGTGCAGACTTGATGATGGCGATGGTGATGTTAGCATACATGTATATACAATACTGGGCTCGATGTATAGACGGGGTACGTACCATCAAGGCAAGACTAATCTCAAAACACGCAGAACTAGTCCTAATCTGCTGTACCGGAAGGCACTAATTGGTATTCTTTGCAATAAATATTTCTCCAAACACCGGCATAAATCGGTATTGGAAAGAATACGGTATAGATAAGAATACCGCACTACTACTATAGTACTACTATAGGGATCCCACCCCCCTTTTTTAGTACTGTAGTTTGGGTGGATGGGCTCATGTACGCCAAATCCGGGCATAAACACCGTAGAGATGGGCCACCTATATATATGTGATCCCTAAACCAGGGGATTCGAATCCGGTGACCAAAGACTCGGGAGGAATAAGTCTACGCTGCCTAAACAAGGTAGATGGCTTGTGGCACCGTCTCGATCATGACCTATCACTCGACTTGATAATCGATCTGGCTCGCGCAAAGGCGGCTTGAAAATAATCAACACAACGCCCGGAATCAATCCTCTGGTCATCTACATGTAGTCAATGTATAAAGTAGGATACCTCCCATATGATGAGTTGTGCTCTTGTCATTTCCTCCATAGTGAATGCCAAAATACAATCATCTCTAGGTATTATGGGAAGCGGGGGCGCGCCGGGGGAGCACCTACCTCGATTTTAGAGCCGCTGATAGGTTGATATTACATAATATCCTCCTTATATTACACGCTATTCTACCTTATGAAAACTAATATTTTACAAGACGCCAATAGGCCTCGGTGTCCATTCCCCATTCCACTTCTTCCATCGCCCAGCCTTGACGGTCTCCACCACCGCCTCCACTTGCATCGCATCACCATCCCTCAGCCTCGCCTCCTGCTCAGCTTTTTGCCGCTTCATGGCCTCAAACCTGGCCTCGAATTCCTTGACCTCGGCTTCCACCTCTTCGAGTTTCCGCTTCCTCGTATCTGTGCCGTCCTCTGCTTTCTTGGCCGGCGGCAGCACAACCTGAGTGGCTGCAATCTCTACAATCCTTGCGTACTTCTCGTTCATGGCCGGGTACTCATTCAGTAAATGGCGGAGGAATTTAAGACCCCTGTATGTAGGAAACCAGTCAGCGAATTCCCCAGAGCAAAGAGGGAGGGAGGGGCAAACCGTTCAGTGGGCCTCACAACGCATTGCTTGATTAGCTCATCATAGTCAATTGGGCTTATGGCCTGGTGGCCGAAGTTTGTTTTAGGCTCTGGGTTGGTGGATGTGAGGTGTTTCAGCCATGCTAGCACTGCTTCCATGAATTCGGGGGGGTGCGTGTCGTCTGGGTTTGTCCCGTCCAGAAGTGTGAAGAGTGGCCGGGTGGTATTAAAAACATCGAGCATCGCGGAGAGGAGCATGTTAGAAAAGCCACTAACGGAGGCGTCAAGGGAGTCTAGGAGTGGAAGCCAGAGGTGGAATGCGCCGTTCATTAGGGGTGCCTTCCTGTGAGTTCTTTTAGCATAAAATAAGAGAAGAGGTGGAAAAGAGACCGCATGACATACTTCTTACCCGCTGGGATTAGTCCCTTCTCTTCCAAGAATGCCTCAATCAGCGCCTCCTTCCCTTCCTCCCCTCGACAGATCGCCGCACACTCCTTGATGATCTTATAGGTCTCCCGGCCCTCGGGAGTCTTATCAAATCGCTTTAATGGCTTCCTAGGATCCTCCCTCCTTAGCTGCCTCCACCGCTTCAGCGCCATCCGCGCCTTCGACTGCAGCACCGCCTCTTCCCCAGAGCCTGTTACCTCTGACGTCCACTTGACGCCCACCGAGACCCAATAATTGTCCCACAGCCATGCCAGAGCCCTCGCCGCGACCGCTCGTAGTACCGGTAGCCCGGGCAGCATGTCATGTGTTGCCGCATGTCGGATCTCGACGAACGACGCTGGGAGGTTGAGATTGCGCGCGAGGATGTGCATAGGCAATGCGAATTGCGCCTGCTGCGCGGGATCTATGAGCCCATTGACGAAGCTGGTATGGGACTTGAATTGTTAGCGGGTCATGGGTGGGTAGGGTGGGGGGGTCGCGGATACGTACCGACAGATCGCGGTTGAGTATGAGAGTCTGGAGTTGAGCGCTGAGTGGCTGGAGGTGTCATGGAGGGTGGCTTCTGTTAGCAGCGCTGTGGCTTCGATTGCGTGTGGGATGCGGGTGCGCGATATCCAGGCACGGACCTGGCGCAATTGGGTGTTAGAGATTCCTGAATAGAGGTTGCTTCTTCCTTTTGCTTTCTTCCATACCTTTGCGAGTGCCATTGGACGGAGGTCTTCGCCATTTGAGACTGGATAGAAGGCGGCCTTAACTTCAAGGAGATCGGCGGGTGTGCGCCAGGCGACTATGCGGCGGTTTCGTGACATTTTAGGTGAGTTTTCTAGGAACATGCAACTATCGTATCTTTGCCCATCGGGGGTGTCACTGAATTGAAGTTTTAGAGACCTAGAAGGGCCGGGTAACTACTTGCAGCCACTAGTGGGTATCTCATATATACACGTGATGTATGTAGTAAATTCAGTAGTACAGACCTATTGGACCGGGATATTCTAGAGTTAAAATACGATGATAAACGAGAATGAACAAAGCCTAACAGTCTTGGCAATTGGAGTTGATCATGAGATATCACTCGTGCAACCTATGTACCCATAAGACGCATGCGCAAGTACATGCGCAGTGCCTGATTACATGTATAATACAATAGAGGGCAGAAACACCACTATACATGCCCATCTCCTGATAGGCCGTGGCTGATAGAAGATCTAGATTGAGTAGTCCTACTAGAAATAAGCTCCCGAGTCTCCTAAAACTATAAGATCAGGAGCCTAAAAAAATTCAATTTTGCGAACCTCGAAGATTCTTGCAAGATGAAGGAGCCTCGACAACCTCATCATCAGAAGATTAAGTCACCCTCAATATTCGAGCTCTCTTCTCCTCATTTAACTTTACAAAAGAGCAAATTATATCATCGCCGGCGTCATTTAATCACGCATATTTGGCCATGGTTTAAGTGCACGTAAGCTTCTCTAAGCTACATCATGCGTGCAGTGCATGCTTACACTATGGCCAAAGCTTAAGGAACGTGTTGTTACAAGAAGTTTTAAACAGACGAATCCTCCAAAAAAGACTTAACAAAATAACTATCCAGGACTACCGTGGGCTTGTTTTTTCAGGACCATATAATTTCCCCTTGGCCCGTGCAAGGATAAAACTCAGACCAGTCCAGTCCAGCAGGCTGAAGCTCTCGTCCGGACCAGTCCACCTAATCTTGGCCCGGACACGTCCATAAAAGCTCTGGCCCATTAAACCCCCGAAGACGCGCTTCGTACCATTCTATCTTATCTCGCGTCCACCCTGCGTGGCTACCTAGCCAGGCCGCTCGGACAATCAGACATTTTATAAGGGCGCTCCGTGTGGTGGCTCTAATTCTAATCAGTGCGGTAGCACCACTTGTCTCCAACCAACGGAGCATATGTGCCGAGTTCACAACTTCTAGCTCTAGAGGCCTCAGAGGTGTCACAGGATGACCTTCTGTTTCCGATGGATATAAAACCGTCAAATCAGTTCTTGCCGAGGCCTCAACGTACGAAATTTTGCCTGCGACACAACCTTCATATTGGATGCCCAACTCTTCAGAGTTTTCAATCTCTGACCAATCTGACTTGAACAACTTGCTAGCTGCCTCGAGGTAGAAATCAAGACATTCCACTATCTTTGTCAAAACTCACGAACTCTTCCATCCCTTTTGAGTTGTAAACTTTGAACTCTTGCCTCAACCTCGGATGATAGGCGTATAGTTTCCACAACTTTACACGCAAAGCCCCCTAGTTCCATCCAGGGATCACGGCCATACAAATGATCGTCAATCTTTTCGTGATTGCGTATCGATTCCTGCAATGCTTCTCCAATCGCAAAAGCCTTATCTTTCTAGTTCTTGGAATCGCTCTCTATCTTACGAACTTTATTGGCAACCAACCCCATCAACTGAACAGCAAAATCACCGTTCTTTCGCATCAAGGATGACATTTCCTTACGAACCATCAGATTTCCGAAATGCGTTACTGCGAAATCCTTGAAAAGAGCTAGTCCCCGCGCCCCTAGTCTAATGCGATAATCACTACATGTAGTCTCGGCCAAATTGAAGGTATAGGCTAACGTCTCGATGAAGTCGATTGCTGGTTTGGAGGCACCCTTCTCTATAAAGCTACCGGCACTACTGAAGCGCAGAATAGAGGCGATCGAATGCCATTCTTTCGAGTTCGTAAGGGCCGACTGAACTATGCGAGTACGTACATGTCCACATATAAAGGTAGTATATTTTCGTGTGTTGCCTCCCGATTCGCCTGACTTTGAACTGTGTCGGGTGTATTTGACCCATCTCTGTCCGTTGGAGCCTGTTCATCCCCCTCTTCCTCTTCATCCTCTTCCTCTTCTTTGTCGTCCTCCTGCCAGGCGGGTTCAGGGATCTGATAGTTCCCAGCATACAGGAACTGGATCCACCGGCTGACTGTGTCATCACTCCAAGCCGAGAGGTCGATATCTCCGGGGCTTTGGCCAACAGTGCATAGGTATAGGTCGCCGATAACACCGCTATGTACAAAGAACCGCTTGCCGGATCGAGACGTTATCACGGAAGGTTCCGAAGAGATGAAGCTGAGGTCACTAGTTGTAGTGAGACTATATCGACTTGTTAGCCAATGTATGACGTCACGCCCAAACCTAGAGTAGGACAAGCAATACCCAGAAAATCTTGGAGGCATGGTCTCTAAAGGTGGGATAATAATGAGATACAGCGAGTATGTCAGTAACAGCAAAATATGGCCGCAAAGATTCCGGTATCTCGTAGAGTGCTTGGGCGTGTGCTGTTCTAGACTATATCGAACTTATGAGAATATATATTCGGTGGGAACAGTATTAACCCTAACCCTTACTATGGTTGCCTGAAAGATTACGTGCATGCAACCTTCCTTTTTTTTTTTGGCGTGCCTGCAGCTGAAGATACATGTATGCACGTATGAGACAAAGTTGGTGGTACAAAAGTACACACCTTCACTTCGAGCAGGCACGGTGAGTCTGGGCGGAATAATGTAGGAATGGGCGCATATATGTAACGAAACCTGACACGTACCTATGTACATATCTGGGTGTTTTACTCTATAGATACATGTATTTATATTTAGGTCTGTGTTTGGGGTCTAGCATTTTGTGTTAGGACTTTAAGAAATCTAGGTGGACGCCTTGGTATTCCAATCATAAGATCTCACTCGCATGTGCAAGACACCCCCGCCTACAAATCAACTCAAAGCGGTCAGGAATTCACCACACAGTTTTCCCTTTTTATTATTTATTTAAATCTCTGTACATAAAAAGAACAAAAACACTGTAACATCACGGGAATCATATTCCTCTCATCCTACATGTTTTGTACTGCTCCCACCCGGCCCTGGATCGAACCCAGACTCTAACCCCCCACTAACAACTGCCTTGCCAAGCCCCGTATCATACATACAGTCGAATCGGCCTATAAAAGTACCTCTTATAAAGTTAATCGCCTTATATTAAAGGGTATGGCTTCCCGGACTACAATAGCCTTCGTAGACACAAAGTATCCCTGTCTATAAGGGTATACGCCCTATAAGGGTATGACTTTGCGCCACTTTTGTACCTTTATAGGGCGATTCGACTGTACTGGTGAACGCTTCCAGCACAATAAAGAATAAGAGCAGGTGCTACATGTAGTCCAGCATACACACCCTGACATCGACGAATTTCGCCACTCTGGTATTCGTCCAAAGAAAGGGATAGCACTTGAATGGAATGTTTTTATCGGCGGATCCAGGTACGCCCCAGCTCCGATATTTAATTTTTCTTCTATGATTACAGCATCCTGGATCAAGACGGCGAGGAAGTGGCGACTGGTTGGACAATGTATATCTCTGGCTATAGGCACGGTGGTGATAATATTGGCTTACCTGCGTAGATAGTAGAGCTTAATCACGCAGTTGGTCTAGCCTGCCTTGCAATTGTTGATATGATGTTCATGCCTGGAGTTTCAATAAAAACGACTCTTACAGTCTGCAGGCCTGAGATTGACGGCAACAATAATGAGTAGCTTAATGTAGAGATTGGTGAAGCCAATATCACACACTCCTGCGAGAAGTCCGGACACCGGGTGGGGCGAGAGGTAAACTAACTACAAGGAAGACTAAATAGGAGAAGAGCTAGAGGTAGAACAAAAGCGTTAGTAATGCGAACTGGCATTATCAATGCGTTCTTTCCAGATGGTCCTACTTACTTTTATGATATATCAGTCATGACATATCACTCGCTGAAGTCACTCCGTCACGTGACCACAGGAGCTGAGACTCCTACTTGCTTTGATCTCCTTCTGCTATAGATGCTCCTTGTTAATGGAAGATGACTAGTGAATATACGCTTGTAGTTACATAAGTACGGTTGGGGCCAAAGGGCGGAGATCGAGAGGCGGACTGGAGCGGTTAATACATGTATATATGAGGTATATCGATGCCAACGGGCGCGCAGAGGGGCGAGGGTTTGTAGCGATGGAGTATGATTCAAAGGGTGAATAGAAGAAGTGGAGCTCGCGCGAGGTCAATATGCAGGAAACACAAGCTCTATAGGGAACACCAAGTAAGGACAGGTGTACTTGTAGTCACGCGTGTATATACGTAGCTAGTACAAGTAGGCAATTAAGCCGGGTATGTAGGCGATAGGGTCAGAGGCAACAGTGCCGTCCGTACACGTGTAGTCTACATGTATGTATGACTCGCCGAGCGGCTTTCCATCTTTGCTTTGGGACATCACCTCGAGACCAGAGAAGCTCGGAAGGCCCACACGGCCCACAAGGCGGGAATACTTTAAAGCAAATACCCCCGTACCTTGGACGTGAAGTTTGCCAAGACCGGGATTAACAAGACAGAGTGAGCTAAATTCAAGACCGCTCTCTGGCGTATTCTCGTCTCCTGTGCCACGTTCACACAGCTAGTCGAAGACACAGAACGATAAGGATAAGGACAAAGCAGTGCGAATTCATCAGTCCCGTTCCAATTCCCGGCCAGCCATCGATTTACAAACCGAATGTTTCACTTCTGAATCATATATGTAATTTTTAAGCTGTGATTGTGATCCAGCAGTCCAAGCTGAGTCTGAGATTTCATACCAGCCGTTGGTGTTGAAATCGAGCTACTGTGATTATCATGAACACATACATGTATGTAAACAGTTCGTGTACTTCCTCATTTTCATCAACAGAACGTTGCAGGATATCATCAAAGAAATCAAACTGACGTCGACAGCTAAAAGTATGAAATAGTCGCGCCTTGTTTGGGCGGAACCTATTTATACATAGCAATATACTTCAACTGAGTCGCCGCTGGCTGCTGGTCTCTTTCAGGCTGTTGAAAAATGAGTGAAAGTCATATTCTTGGTTTAAGCTGGTTACTCATGTACAGATGGGAAAACAGTTGATATATACCACATGTATTCTCGACAGCTTATAGTCCCTCAAAATATCGCAAACCTGCAGTGAGCCTGAGTTAATTACGTACAAGTGTGGGGTTTTTCCTGAGAAACCCCAGATTCCCTCGGTATACATAACACAGGTACTAATTGGGGACGTGCTCGTCAATTATATCTACTCGCCTCATAAATTCTAATACTTAAACCCACAGTAACGGACCAGCTGCGGTGTTGGGTTATCGCTGAAATTTATTATCTGCATAGGTGTGCACATCCGGCGTCAGATTCTCCACCGGTTCAACTTTGCTTCTTTCTCTCTTTCTTCTCAGGATAGCCATCACATGGAAGGGTTTAGAGCGCAGAATACAGGCTATAGCGCTAGCGATTCCATAAACTTTCAAACAGACGCCAAACATGAATACCGAATCATTTATCAAGGATATCTCTAGTGTCATGATTATGTACCATACATGCTAAAAATTGATACATGTTGCTACTGTTCAGGAGGCTGTCAAGAACATCACAGGCCTAGGGATAGCTGTGAAACAATTATATATGAGTCAGAGGATCCTGGGATGGATGATCTTATGGTTCGATCGATCATTCCCAGTTCTCATCACAAACGAGGCTTTCGGACAAGAAGACGTTACACTGTATATGTGGTCCAGTGGGGTACTAGCATGCGCATTTTGCCATGGTATGCCTATCACCACATGTGGCATGGCAGTCCAAGTCACGATAATATTTTATACACACCGGGGCCTAGACTACCAGCTACCAATCAAAACCCACTTTATCTCACCTTTTACCTGAGTTCCAGCCTTCTTATCTCTCAACTCCGAGGACTATAGCCTCTCATACACATGCCTCTGCCCTAGGGTTAGGTGACAAGGCACATTAGGTCATCACATCACATGATACGCAATATTAGATTGGATACCACCGTAACTCTAATAGGACCATTGGTAAAGTTTATATCCCATATAGATTCTGTCTCATTTTTTTTTTTTCCTTTTGCTAGATCTCTCCATTTCCGACATATTCATCTCCCCGCAGGCCCACCTCAGTAAATAGCATGATATTATCCTGGTTCGAGCCTCATCCTGAAACACCTCCGTACAACACCCGCATAAAGGGTTAGGGTTAACTATGCGCTGTCTGTCCTCTCACGATTGGGACGTGGGAAAAAAAAAAACTCCCCATTTCTCCCTCCTGCCCTCCGGATTTTTTGGAATGCTAGGAAGTGACAGACTTCGATACCATAATGCCTATGAATATTTCCAGGTAAGTATCTCCTCAAAACGAAGAATGAACATAACTCCAGCTAACAACCCAGCTACAGCTACCTCTCCTCAAAAACGGTCGAGGTCAAATCCCGTGATATCAGCTTTTTTGTGAACAGCAAGCTGCTCGCGAAATGGCGACTCCTGCCGAGTGCTATCACGGGTGCCGAACTTGAGGAGAAAATCGAACTCTTGGAGTGGGACGGCAATACGGTTGCGAGATTCGTCGATTTTTTGTATAGCGAGACTTATGAGGTTTCTCCCCCGAAAGAGGGAGTAGGAAGAGAAGGAGACCCAGAATGGGGTTTTGCCGTCGGATCCAGAGCAATTGGGGGAAATGTTAAAGGCCCATCTTAAGGTTTATACCCTTGCGCAGCACAAGAGGATAGAGGCACTTCGAGTGATGGCTTTAGAGAGGCTTAAAGAAGTACTAAAAGCCATCGATGGGAGCCTTCTTGATAAGGATCCAAACTTGCTGCGCCATATTATTGAAATGTTGGACTATGTCTACTTTCCAACTTGCCCTTCCACGGATTGTGATGTCGACACTCAAAAACGCTCTAATGATCCGATGCGGGATGTTGTGTCAACATTTGCAGCAGCGCATTTCGAAAAGCTCAAGGGACACGGGGAGATAAGGATATTGATGGGCAAGGGAGGCGATTGTGCTGTCGACTTGATGGAGAAAGTGGCAGCAAGACTCTGCAATGCCGGAGGAGCTCTTGTGGAAGTTAAATCGGAGATGCAGAAGCTCATGAACGAAGTAGAAAGGAAGCTACAAAAGTCAGAGGAAAATAACACGGAAATTACACAAGATCTAAACGCAGCAGAACGCCGATTGGAGGCTGCCAAGAAGAGGGAGGAGAAACTGACGGACAAGGTGCGAGAATCGAACGAGGCATCTTTACGACTGGAAGCCGCCAAGAGATCTGAGGCCCTCAAGCTACGAGAGATATCAAAGTTAAACGACAAGGTTGCGAACATGGAGAGGTTGCTCGAGGAGGAAAGAGCAAAGAAATCCACGATTCTGCCGCCAGTCCGTCATAGTAAGGACGATATCTCGATATCTGGACCGAAGAAACATCCATGGGACAATTTGGATAAGTTGATATTCCTTATTTCCGGCTGGAACCTTTCCTTGCGTACACTTCTTTCTATTGCAACAACAACTTTATTCGTGATCGTTATGATCGTCCTATCTACTCATAAGGCCGCCTACGCCCCATCGGTTCAAACATTCTCGCAATCTCAAAGTCAAACCGTCGACGGGAAGTTTTTCCAAAACCTATGCCAATATTATGGGGCCTATAACTGGGCTGGGAGCGACTTTGTCAGGGTTGAAGGGAAATCTCTAAAGGTCGCATGTAACGAGCACTCGCGTGGTTCTAGAGTCTTACGGCCTGTAATTTCTGCTGGCAGGCGGGGTGATATGTGTAAGTTCTATGAACAACGGCTGTGGGCTGGAAGTTATTACTTGGAGCTTGAAGGGAAATCGCTTGAACTATACTGTCAAGACACTAGCTATACGCCCTCTTGCCCTAGACTTCGTGTTTTTGACAAACTGGAGGGAGCATAAGTTTCATATACGCATGTATGGGACGAATGATGAACTTGCTAATGATTAATGTATACTCATCATATTTCTTTTTTCATTGTCTTCTCTGGAGTTTTCTTTACGGTATTTTAACCGCTTACTTATGGCTCGACATGGCACACGAGAGAGAGCTTTGGTTTTGTTCTTCAGTAAGGATGTGGCTATATATAGACTACCCCTTCGCTTTTGGGCCCCTTCTGTAATCCCCTGGGAGAGATGCGGACCTGGGCGCTCCAAGTTTTTCTTTGGATGTCTGAATTTCTAGCTAGTGATAATGATAGCATTTACGAACCCTTGATCGTGATAATATAGGCCAAGAACAATCATAAACACCAAATTAAAGTGACCAAGAATCATGAAACGATATATAATCGCAAAGGTTGCTAGATACAGAATACTTGCACTCTCATGCGTGAAACTCAGTGGGTGTTTATATATGCCAAGATGAGAATGAAGTTATTGATGGCTGAGTATAAATTTAGTTACTGCGTCAATTCTGCCCCCTCATTTGATATTTCATGTGTCGTATGAATGCTGATAATACTCAGATGTATGTACCTACTTCTGCGTGGCCAAATCAGGGATTGCCTATTAAGCATTTTTCAAAACCGGTTGACCTAAAGTCTCTAGTACCTACCGCGGGTATGTACGGTGGTCTTCTCCGGCCGGGTACAAACCTGGGAAGGACTCGGCAATAACCGTTTTCGTGTAACATCTTGGCGGATCACCTACGTGTACGCCAGGAACCTCAATCCTCCACCCAACGAGATCGAGAACGCGCGTTATGTACCCAGAATGAATCCCACGGCTACCGTCCCGCCCAGTTCTCACCCGAAGTAGAGTAGATAGAGATAGAGTAGCCTGCCCAGGACCTCTCCCTCCAGCTGGCATGTCTCAGCCTTACCCCCCTCTCCTGACACCTCCACATTGCGCCACGCCGCCTCCACTACTATCTTCCAGGTATGTACAATACTGTATTCAGAATTACTCCCCCCCCCCGTCACATTCTCTCAACTTAGATATGTACTAGTGTTCTCATCTTCAATAGGGTCAATGAGAAAAGCGACTTCAATATCTATGACGATATTGAATCAAAACCTCATGTGTGGGAAGAGCCGGTTGTCGAGAAACCCGACTGGGATGGCAATACTATGGGACGATTCCTAGAGTTTCTCCATACTGGGGACTACCGACATCCTGAGCCGAGCTCTGGGCTAGAAACTATTATTCTAGAAAGCGAGGGCGTGCTATTAGTGCACGCAAAACTATACCTACTCGCACGTTATAAGAATCTTGCTGCATTGCAATCTTTAGCAGTGAGCCGGCTAAGAACAGCACTTGGGCTGATTTCTATATCAGAAAGGACAGCCAAAAAAGTTATAGAGCTACTGCAGTACATCTACTCTCGTACAAGTCCCCAGGAGCCCGCGAGGGAGCTTGTGGTGGGATATGTAGCGGGGAACTTCAGAACGCTCAAGGCTGTGAGCGGCCGGGAGATGAAGTTGCTGCTGTGTGGAGGCGGCGATCTAGCGGTTGAGTTAATGCACAAGATGGTTACGAGACAATTTGGGTCTGAAAACGGCTTTGGTGGGAACATGGTTACTATACTTGAGAGGGTTGAGAGGGGGGACAGAAGAAATGAAGGTATTGAAAGCGACTTGGGAGTGCTACATGTTGAGGCAGTGCCGCGGTTGGATGCTCTAAGCACTGAAGCCCTGGTAGTTGTAGTAGACAAGGGCAAAACTAGCGAAGATCTTAAAGATACGATGTGTGAGTTGAAGGCCTGCCACATGGTCAACAAGGAGCAATCGGTCCCACAAAACGAGATAGTGGAGGAGGGCGGTGGTGATATCGAAGATATAAGTGCAGCAGTGCAGGGTAGTTTCGCGGAAAGTTCCTTAGAAGATAAGAAGGAATTTGCTACCGTGACTGAAACGTTTGAGGCGAGTAGTAACGGTGCCAAAAACATGGAGAGTGAGTTGATGGGTGATGATCCAAACATCAACGAATGTTTGGATCCAGTGGCTGTGGCTGATGGGGCGATTGGGGATATTCAAGATGTTGAAGGCAGAGAGGGCGAGGAGGGCGAGGAGGGTGAGGAGGGCGAGGAGGGTGAGGAGGGTGAGGAGGGTGAGGAGGGTGGGGAGGGTGAGGAGGGCGAGGTTATAGCTGGCCTTGAGGTTGGAAAGGAGGACTTGGTAACAGTACCTATTGATAGAGCTGAGGAGCCAAAGAATACTGGAGGGATTAAAGGTTCGGAGGATGAAGTAGACCCCTCCGTCACGAAGACCCCGCAAACAGATATCCCCGGGGCCGTCGATCAATTAAATAGAACTCAGATACCTGTAGAACAAGATGCGGTTAGGGGTGGCCGAGTATTGAGTCGGAGGTTGTACATTTCTTTACAGTCGTGGTTTGGTCTCCGGCCACCCGTGGAAGCATCTTGGAGATTGAGATAGCTTCACTACATACACGTATCTACTTGTATATTTTTGAGTCAATTCAAAGTAAATTAAATTAAACAATCCCCAGAGAGGTGGTACTGTATGTGCCTGCACGCCCTTAAGTTTCAGCCCGATAGCCATGATACTTGCATGGTAGCTACGTTACTGAACACATGTGCCCATGTACCAGTTATAGAGAGCTTTTAACCGCAGCCATGTATACATTACCTACCTTAAAGCTAGAATCGACCATCAGGAAACCGACGAGTGGGCTGTATAAAGCAAACGTATCTGCTAAGCTACATCTACTATACTATAAAAGAATATGATCTGAAAAAGTTTCGCTAATTATAAACCGGCCTAATCCTACATCCGGCCCTGACAATGGGGGAGACCAATTGGCCAAATACTTATGAGCGAGAAGCTAAGATAGTTCAATTTGCGATTGTAGGCCGGCCAGAGAGAGCTCTGATCGATATCACTAGGCCCTCAGGCTACCTAATAAGCTCAAAAAAAGAAAGAAAAATCCCAAAATAGGCAATAAATTTACAAAAAGTGATGCTGTGGCCATATACCCTTCGCGGGGCTACCTACCCAATACAGTACTGCAATATAATGGGCTACGTTTCCCGGTATATAATATACACCCCACAGACACTCCCACCCCCGGGATTGAACCCATGACCTACTGATGGTCATGGGGACTCAACCCACTCGGTGTTCGTGTAAGACGAGCTGTCTACCCCTAGACTACACTCGCCCACACAAATTTTTAGTGCGCCGGAAGTAATATTTAAGGGAGGGAGGGCAAAGTGAGCTAGGGGGACACCTAACCCCGCAATCACAATCCACCACAACGTACATCATGACACTGGCCATGGCCACCCACTTGTGTAAGTATGATACGTGTTATATATGGACACATACTTTAACTCACAGAGTACTACAAGCTGCTCATTACACTACAACAACTAAGGGTCGACGAATATCAAAAACCATGTCTTCAAAAGTATATAGGTATATACCCCTCGAGTATTCTATAATAGTAGATCTAGTCATTACTAACAATTAATAAAAACCAATCGACAACAGCCTCATAACAGATCTCACTCTACTGACTTCTGAGATCATCGAAGTTTCGGCCGAGTCCGGGAACAGGAAATTTTTCGTTCACAAAGACATCCTTACCTCGAAATCAAACCATCTTCGTTCTATAATGAGCAGTGTATGGAAAGAGGTCACCGAGAAGAAGATCGACTTCTCAGATTGGGACGGTGATACAGTTGGCCGGTTCCTGCAATTCATGTATGTGGACGACTATCAGATCCATGAACCAAATCGAGAGGAATTCGAACCAGAATTTGCTCGTGAATATCACCGTGCGTCTGAGCCGTTCGATTGCATATGCAAGGAACTTTTTAGGAGCGAGAACATTAATGTGCTCCTATTGCACACGAAGGTGTACGCGCTTGCGCAGTACAAAGACGTTGAAGTGCTTCAGATGTTAGCATTGAATAGGATTGAAGATATACTTTCTAGAATCCCGCCATGTTTGTCGACGAACACATTAGAAACGGCTCTGACCGAGAAGATTATAAAATACATTCTAGAGGTTTTGAGTTATATCTACGAAAACATATGCACCCGTGAATACTCTGATGAACCAATACGAAGGCTCTTTTTAGACTTTGTAGCAAAAAATATTCGACTCTTAAATCTCAAGGACCGGGAAGATGTATGGACACTTCTGGGTGAGGGAGGTGATTTGACGACTGAGATGCTGAGAACCGTGATAGGGAGACTCGTTGAAGTTGAGTTAAGGCTTGAGGTTCTAGAGCTTGATTCTGCGGACAACTTTGCTCTGTATCATGAAAAGGTTGCTGAGTTCGAAGGAGAGAGCTGGGATCAAGAAGGTGAGTGAGACCTTGTAAGGAAACAGGCTATGAACACAGGTATGTACTAGCTATATAAATTAACTAGTTTCAACTACGTATGAGTAATTGAATTAACCCGGGGTTTAGGTATCGGTACTACTACCCTAAATATAGCCCTGGTAGAATGTTTTATATGTTATTAGACAGATAAATACGTCAAACGGTCCATTGAGATCCCTAGGTTCTTGAGCTCGTTTTAATGGGGATAGCTGGAGCTTTTTAAAGGAGGAAACATCTGAACTCTGTGTGGGCCAAAGATTTTGTTTGGTGCGGTTAGCTGAATTCTGGGGAGGGCTTAGGGTTATAACAATACCTCATAACTCGTAACTAAATGTATAAATAGATAAGATAGCTTATCGGGCCTCAGCTATGGTTGATCATGACATGAATATTATCATCCCTTCTGTCAGTTAAATCCTGCCGCCCCAAGAAAAAGCAAATCTGGTGTGGCTTTACTAACAGATCTCGTTATCTCTCTTATCAAATAACGAATCTCCTATATAAATTTAATTCCTTTATTATAGGGTGGTAGTATTGACAGACGAAGGGATACGTCGTGAAGCGTTAAAACCACACCCTGTATTCACATCCGCAATAGCCCTTAAGTATTTGGAGAAAGCCCGAGGCCATGGTAGATCGCAGGTTGTTTTCTTTGTGGACCTGAGGTATCATGTATGCATTGTTTAGCAGAATAACTCGAGGTATCGCGATCCCCCTAGCCTTGATAGAACAAAGAAAAGAACATGCAGCTCGTCATTGTATGTGCTTCAATCATATTATCAACTATCCGCCAAGCGAGATAGACCTGGGGCGCCGTATATAACTCTTTACTTCTTGAAAATAAAGAATAGACACTCTCATGATCTCTGGTCCTAAATATACTCATCCCTTCAAGAGCCATGGCTATAGGTACTACCAGGTAACCTCTTCCACCTCTATAACTAAGCGAAATATTTACTGACAGTCATCGTCCATAGCTTTACCCAGAATCTCGGGCTCCTCGCCTCAGAAATCATCGAAGTAGTTGCCGAATCCGGGCAGGAACGCTTCCGTGTCCACAGCTCTATATTTGCCGCGAAATCCAGGACTCTTCGTCGCGCCACCAAGGGTGTAAAGCGTCTTGACCTATCAAACTGGGACGGAAACACGGTTGCTCGCTTCCTCCAGTTCCTGTATATAGGGTCCTATCAGGTACCCGAGTCTAGATTGGTAGAAAGAGGCGGGGAAGATGAGAGCGTAGACGGAGGGATGAGCCCGAATACGGCGAAGCGCCAAAAGAACTCTGAGGTTGGGAATGCGTTGAATTTCCTGTTGACCCACGCGAAGATATATACACTTGCAGCGTGCTACGACGTTGAGGAGCTTCGGGTCATATCGTTCAAGAACCTTCAAAGGGCGCTTGGGAGAATCGATGTGGGGGAGCAGACGGCTCGCGTGGTCGAGATGCTGGAGTATATCTATTCCCACACATCCTGCGGAGAACCCATACGGGAACTTGTGTCGAGGTTTTCTGCCGAAAACTTGCAGACTTTGATAGGCCCGATAGACATGCACCTGTTACTGCATGGGGGTGGAGATTTTGCTGTTGAGTTGGTAGAAAATATATCGGAGAGACTTGGCAGTGCTGAGAGAAAGCTACGGGGAGTCGAGAGGACGCTCTCGGCTGTGGTGAAGGAGTTGAAGAACTCGAAACCAGCGCTGAGGCCTAGGCGACGGCACTCCATGTCTGCTGATCAGGGTTTACCGAGCAGCCAGACGCAGGAAACATCGAAGCAAAGCGGGATTAGTTGGTTTAACACGGACTTCTTAGTTTGGGCGTTCTCTCGATTCCCACACAAATGTTTTCGAATCGCCCTAGGCGTCATCATATCGGCCGCCACAATTACCAATGTATTCAACTACCAGTCGGAGACCATAGGCAGTACTACTTTCGAAAATCTTTGCGAATACTACTCCGCACGCTTCTGGGTTGATAGCGACATGTTGGCTGTGGGAAACCAACTACTTAAGGAAGCCTGTCTCGCTCATGTACCTGGTGCACGGGTTCCCAAACCATATATATTAACCTACAACGAAGTTTGGGTTCCCGAGATGTGTGAGATGGCCACATGGTTAACACGCAGGGACTATAATTTAAGTGGTAAGCGGTTTATGGAGTATTGTAGGGAGGTAGACCGGCAAAAGTGGAGAAAAGCACATCTAGCTGCAATTGACGAGGCGGCGGCGGGGGCTGTTGAAACCTCTACCGGATTGGACAATACAGGCATGCCTGCTGCTAAGGGCGTGCATAAAGCTCCTTCTAAAGACGCCGAGCCTAGAGATGTCATTTCTTTTGTTTCTCATCCAGCTTCACTTTTCGTGTTGTTTGTGGCTGGTTATTACAGCTACGTGCATCTCTTCGTTGTACATGTTGCAAGGCCAAGCGGGATGAAATCAATTGCACGTCGACATGGGTTCATATATCCAACTGATAGTAGGGATGCTATCTAGTTATACGTACCTTTATATATATATACACGTATAAGTATTTTTTTTTCCTTCTGAAAAATTTGGACTTGGTCTAACAGTTTTTCGTTCTTCCTGTTTCCCTGACTCACGTGACACGAGTGATATTTCATGAACGCAATACTTACTAGGCATCAAATTAAAGTTGCCCTCGCTCAGGATAAATTTGAGATTTGAAGCTCTCCAAAGATGACTCATGCCCAGTTTGTAACTTCTAGTAGCAGCCTCATAAATATATATGCCCCGTAGTGATGGGCGCGAGACGAGCCGAGACGAGGGTTGGGAAATGTCTCGTCTCGTCCTGTGGGTTTAGGACTGGGAAAAAGCTCTTTATCATATCCCCCAGCACATATTTCTTTCGGGGTTCCGTATCATAGTGGCGTATGTGTTTGTGCATGCCCTCGAAAGGAAACTAGTACGACAGCGAGGCCGGGTTTTGATTCCCGTTACGGAATCCCATTTTTCTTTTTTTTTTTTTTCTTTCTTACCTCCAGTGTTTTTTTTTTACCAGAACCAGCTGACGACTGTTTTGAGTATATTTACTACGTGGGAGAGAAAAGTCAAAGAGGTCGCGAGACTTTTCGTTTAGGACTGGGAAAGCTCTTTAGCATCTCCCTAATACATGTCGCTTTTCCTTCTTCGTCTGACGCCGCCACAACTACGCCCTCTTCCTTTGACACAGCGACCGTGGCCACCACCATTCAAAATCACCGTCCATTACCCTTACTTCTCCCTTTCCCTCCTTTCCTCTGGTCTGCCTTCCTCCTTCTCGCCTCCACCTCACCTACTTTCGGTTAGCCAACCGCACGATTCTAGTCTTGCTCTGGTGGAGCTTTAATTGCTCTATCATGATCGGGATCTCACATGCATTGCATACGTGTGTCATTACATGTAATTCCCAAGATTCTCCAATCCCGGCCCCTTGCATGTCCCGATTTCCAATTTTACAAAAAAAGCTCTGTATGGGGGGGGATAACGAAGCTATATATGGTTCGAATTATCCATCCGACTGATGCTATATTACGAACGTCGCATTCTTCAAGAGACCCCCAGCGCTAATAGCATATAGATTCAGATCTGGGTGTGTGGCCGGTTGATGTGGGCCCCGATCCAAGCTCTCTCTCTCTCTCCAAAAGATGCCAAGACCGAGTGATACCTTGTGCCTTCAATCATAATCGGTATTATTTACCAAATTCTAATAATCACTGAGCCTAGCTGTGAAGTTTCAACGCTCTGATTGATTGGCTTCTAGCTCTGTAGTGCTTTCATGTGCACTAGCAGCTTCCCAGCTTGCTTATTTAGTACCGCGCTCGTACGTGCAGGCAATATCTAGATATCGTGTAGTACATACACGTGCTATCTAATTTGTACTCCTACATATGCCCCCGAACGGAGTGAAGGGTTATAAGGATAGATGTACCGAGTATGCAGTGTGTATTAGGGGTTTGATTGGCCATGTTTGAGAATTTCCTTTTGGGGTGTTGAGATGTTTCTTAAGTATTCTTTCTAGTGTCGGTTTCTGTTACATACTTAATGTTTGGTGATCAAGACTATTGATATTGATATTGAGGGTGGCAGCTGATTGCTTTTTGTTGATCTAGTGCTACATTTAGTACTCTTTGGAAGTTACTCTCATATACATAGAATCCGGATCCATGGCGCCGCCTCGTCTACCAAGGCAAGTTAAGCCCACCACACCAAAGAAAGCATTTGGGCCGGCCGGCTAACAACGTCTAGTCTGGCTGTAGATTAAAAAAAAATAGAAATACTCAAAGGGGCTATATCAGTTAATTGAAACAAAACGTCAGAAGAACCTTAATTGGGAATACTCCGAAAGGAAAGATGGATAGTACTCGGCTCTGATGCTACTTGCTGTGGAACGGGCGTTCTCAATTCGAGTACTGATAGCAAGTATATATGGATCTGCTCTCCACCATCATCAGAGCTATACATTTACTCACAGCGATCATGAGAGATTTATCGACAGTCATGATCACCTGAAAGATATTGTAGCCCCGTCCCGTCCCATCTCATAGTTACACACATGTGAGTATGTATTGATATAAACACAAACATCTAAACATATAAACCCCCACTCCCTTCTCCCCTGTCTTCGAGCCTCAACGCAAACCCGCGCCCCGGCGCCACACCCCCGTTGCCACGCCCACGCCCACGCCCACGCCCACCACAGCCACAGCACCAACTTCTGCTTCTCCCCAATCAATCCCTCCCTCCCCAATCCTCCCTCCCTCCCTCCCTCCCTCCCTCCCTCCCTCCCTCCCTCACCCAATCAATCCATCACCACTTTTCCACCACACTCCTTCACGCACGGGTTCAACACCACCAGACAGGACAGAAGCAGAACTCGCAATGTTCGAGAAGCAAGCCCTAAAGCAGTACGACCGCTCGCTCGACCAAGAGTCCTGGCCGCTCCTCGAGCTCACCGACGCGTGCGTGTACCGCTACCGCCGCGGCGAGAAGGACATCATGGCCGACCTGCTCGACGTCCAAGACACAGGCCCCTACCGGATCCGCGGGAAGCTCTCTCCCGTGCCGGCCGAGTTCGCCGACATCGGTACCCCCCACCTCCCCTCCTCCGTGATGATTCAATCAATAGGCCGGGGCTACTGACATCCAGACGTACGCACAGTATACCCCGGCAAGGCCGCCCGCCTCTACAGCGAAGAGCTCACCATCGCCGGCGTCACCACCTACTCCATCCAGTCGCTGGCCGACGGCACGTTCACGCTGTGGGCGCTGGGGCAGTGCGGGTGGTACTCGCTGGTGCCGTCGCGGCGCTACGCGCCCATCTTCCTCGGCGCGCTCGAGAAGATGCAGCTGTGGGCCTTCCTGCAGGACCGCTACCTCGACGCCTACGAGGGCGCGGGCCCGCCCATCCCCGGCACGGTGCACGAGGTCTATGCCGACTACTCGCGCCTGCGCAGGGAGTCGTGTCCGAGTGCTAGGGCCGCGGAGCGCCTGTTTGATGCCCACCACCGCTTCCTGCTGTTTGAGATGTGTGCGGCCTGGACGGACACGCCCATGTGGGCAAGGACCCCGCTGTTTAGGGACTGGAAGGTCGCGTATAAGCGGGAGGTGGAGGGGGTCGTGAAGATGGCGGCGGCGGGGAGCCTGGAGGAGAGGATCAAGGGGGGGATGGTCAAGAGGGAGGTGAAGGAGGAGGAGGAGGAGGAGGAAGAGGAGGAGGAGGAGGAGGAGGAGGAGGAGGAGGAGGAGGAGGAGGACGAAGAGGTGCCGCCGCCCCCGGTAAAGAAGCCGGCGAAGAAGACGGCGGCGAAGAAGGGCCCGGCCAAGAAGTTGGTGCAGCAGAAGCTGGCGCCGATCTTTGTGAAGAGGGAGCCCGCGGCGGAGCCGGAGCACATCATCATCCTCGACACGGACGACGAGGACCCCGGCATGCACAATGCCGCTGCCGACGACGACTCCGACGACGACTGCAACGAGGACGAGGACGACGAAGACCAAGAAGAAGAAGACGAAGACGAAGAAGAGGAAGAGGAAGACACCCAGCCCTCCTCCTCCGCCCGCCGCAGCAACCGCTCCAAAGTCCCCCCCCGCCCAATCTACAGCTCCAAAGGCAAATCCGTCCTCCGCCCCGTACGCACGCCCGCGCCCCCGCCCGCCGCCGCCGACTCCGAGTCTGACTCCGAGCGCGACTCCCCGCCGCGGCCAGCACCAAAACGTACCTTCTCCTCCACAACCACCAGCAGCACCTCCTCGAAGCGCGCTCTCGACGGCGCCTCCCGCGCCGCCTCCGCCGCCTCGAAACGCGCGTGCACGGCCAGCGCGCGCACGCAGCCATCACTGATCACGACGCTGCGCATCGGCGCGCCCACGGCCACGGCCACCGCCGCCGCGCGCGTCAAGACGACGACGACCACCACCACCACGACGTTCATCTCGCCGCTGACGAGCATTGCGCCGAAGGCGCTGGGCTCGAACCGGCCGGGGGGCCTGTGGGAGTGCGAGATTGCCGGGTGTAGGCACTTTATAATGGACGCGGACCGCGAGGAGAGCTTGAAGGCGGTGGAGGCGCATTATGAGGAGCATGGGAGGGTGATGAGGATGGCGATGGAGGCGATTGGCGGGGAGGTGGTGGAGGAGAGGGGGGGGGGGAGTGTGGAGTGAGTTTTGCAAACCCTTTCTTTGTGATGAGTGTGGGGATGGGGGATGCTAATTGGGTGTGGGGACAGTAATTTACTTGCGAAGATTGAAGCCATGGCGGAGCGGTGGGCGATGACGAAGCCGGCGCCGTTGGGGGATTGAGGGTGAGGGAATTCTAGGATTTGGTTTTAGGTGTTAGGAAAGCTTTGGGGCTGTTTTTCCTTGTGGAAAACATTCCTGGAGGACGGGTCTGGCTTTAGGAAAAGGGGTGGTAATGGGCGTTAACTATAGGGAACTGGGATTGGGGGGGTGGGACTTTTTACTTTTCTTCACCTTTTTTTAGCTTTTATTTTTGCACTTATTTTAGCTTTTACCTTTTTTTTTTTTTACTTGTTTTTATGGCATCTTTTATGGCATCGATGGTTATGTGGGATTTTAAGGCCTTGGTAGGGAGGGGGCTTCTGGATGGGGCCGTGGTGGTGGTGGGGTGGAGGCGGTTTTACATATGTAGCATTATTTTATCCATAGCTTAGCTGGGTAGCTGGCACTCAGTCACAATCACAGACAGACAGGATCGACCGTCGTAGCCGGGCTACGCACGCACACATTCCACCAAAAAGAACAGAAAAAAAGATATAATAACTATCCCCACAAGCACATCTACCCCCGCACCCCCCCCCCCCCCACCCCCCTCTCTCCAAAAAAAACCCCACCCAACCCACCCACCTACCTTTTCAGCGTCTTCTGCTTCTCCGCGCCCACCACCACCTTCCTCTTGACAAACAGGCCCTTGCGCTCGCGCACGCGGTCCATGTACTTCTTCGCGACATTCTCCTTGTCGGCGAGCTCGCCGAGGTCCTCGAGCTCGTCCTCGGTGAAGGGCGTCCAGAAGGGGTCCTCGTCGACCAGCATCTCGTAGCCGCTGAAGATGAGCTGCGGCGAGGCGGCGCCCGACGTGCGCTTGCGGATCTCGTCGCCGAAGCCGAACGACTCGGCGACGGGGAGGGAGGCGCGGATCGTGAAGAAGGGCGTGCCCTCGTTCATCTCTTCGGCGAGGATCTTGCCGCGCCGACGCGTCACGACGGCGTAGACTTTGCCGAGAACTTCGGCTGTGGAGGCGCGGGGCGGGGGGTGTTAGTTTAGATATGGACTGGGGGGGGGGGGAGGGGGAGACGTACTGGAGGCTTGGATGTCGCAGCTGTACATAGCCATCAGCAGGCGCGGACTCCAGTCGAGGAAGGCCTGCTTAATCGCGTTCTGAACGACAGTGATGACCTCAAAGTTACGGTTCCTATCGTCCTCCTGGTCCTGCACGGTCGCCTCCTCGACGAAGCAGGCGATGCCCTGCACGGGCTCGTGGCAGAGCGGGCCCTGCCACGTGGCCAGCTGGAAGGCGTGCGAGAACTTATCTTCAAAGTCCCTGGCGGAGGACGAGGCGCCCTCCTGTGCTGTCGAGGTGTCGTTGAGCCTGTTTTGAAAAAAAAAAAAAAAAGTCAGTCATGGACTATCACTCGGGTGGGTGGAAATGATCGGATTTACAGTCTTCGGAACAGCCCCTGCGTGGTGGCGTCAATGAGCAAGTTTGGCCCGATGCGGCGGGGGCCAAAGGCAGCGATCTTCTCCACGATGCCGGCCCAGACATCCTTCTCCGCGCCCTCGCCCTCGTCGAACGCTTTCTGCAGGCCCTCGCAGAACTCCGGGAGGCTTAGGAGCGCGGCGGCCTTCTCGGTCTTTGATGTGGCGCTGTCGGCGCCCTCGGCTGCGGCGTCGGCGCTCTCGGTCGCTGCTGCTGCGACCTCGGCCTCGTTGCCGCGGCGCTCGGCGTACAGGCGCTTGATGCTGCCGCTGTTCTTGAGCAGGAACTCTGTCACTTCCACGGGGAGCGGGCGGACCCGGATGCGTATCGAGACCTGTTTCGACGGCGTTGTCGCCGCCACAGCGCCACGCACGCCGCCCTCACCTTTCGCGGGGGACATCTCCGCCGCCGCCACGATGGACTCGCGGTACGGCACGATGGGCGCACTGCTCTGGATATCCACCCTCGCGAAGCGCTCCCGGAGGTCCTTCAAGCACCGCTCGAGATGCAGCTCGCCGGCGGTCAGGAGCACGTGCTCGCCGGTTTCCTGGACAATGTATTCGGCGCAGGGGTCGGCTTGCTCGAGCATCTTGAGGCCTTCAACCATCTTGCCCATGTCGCTCGGATTCTTCGGTTCCACGGCGACGCGCACGATGGGTGCGGCGCCGAGGTTGACGCCCGCGAGGTTGACGCCGCCTTGTGGGAGGGAGCAGAGGGTCCCGGACTTGAGGATGCGGCCTTCGAGGCCGCCGATGCCGAAGACGTTGCCGGCGGGGACGGAGTCGAGGGATTGGAGGTCGCGGCCCATCATGTAGTATAGCTCGGTGACGGTGATCTTTTGGATGTGCTGGTCGGGTTGGGAGGGGGTGTACTTGGGTCCCAAAACATATAGTTCCTGCCCAACGGTGATAGTGCCAGAGTAAAGACGTGCAAAGCCGATAAGACGCTCCTTGTCCCCCTCATCTTCATCTTTCTCCTTCTCCTTCTCCTTGTCCGCCTCGGGCTCGGTGGGCTTCAGGGTAGTGAGCACACTAAACGTCGCCGTCTCCCTCGGACCCCTAGTCGGCGCCTCTGCCGACTCCGGCTCTTCTTCGCCCGCGCCCGCGCCCTCTTCCTGCGCAGCGATCGCTCTAGCAACTGCAATTCTCTTCTGGCGTGCCGCTTCGCGCATTTCCTCCGCACTCAGCTGCACCCTCGTTGTCTTTTTTAGCTCCTTCTCCGGCACGGCGACCATCTTGCTGACAAACGCCATGATGGGCGCGTCGGCGCCCGTCTGGAAGTCCACCATGGCGGTCTTGAGGCTGCTGTCAATCTTGTCGGCGCTGGGTGCGGACTGGAGGATCGACGGGATACGCTTGTGTTGGGCTACGGGCGGGGAGGGGAGCTCTTCGATTACTGTTACGAGCACGGAGGTGGAGAGAGGCAGCCATTGGGAGAAGATGGATGTGAGGAGTGTACGTGTGTCTTTTGACTTCAGTTCACGCGGGAGAACCTTGATGTTGAGTGATTTTACGATTTTCTCTACGCGCTCTTGGTCTCTGTTGGTGCGAGTGATAAGCCATGATCCGGGGAAAGAAATAAGGGGTGGGAATGGAGGGCATACTTCTGTAGAACGGTGCTCTCGTAAACTGCCCAGATGCTATCTAAAACCAGCTGCACAAACATCGGCTTCAGGCTGCGCCCTTTCAGGTGCTTTGCCCCCAAAACCCGCTTCGTCTTGGGGTCCAGGTAGTATTCGCCCCACAGCACTTTCTCCAAAACGGACTTTTTGATGCCCAGCTTCTTCTCATATATGCTCGCAAACTGGCGCACTGTGAATGCCCACCCGTCTATCGCGCTCGCGAAAATGACGTTATCCTTCTCAGGCGCAAAGTAGATATCCTCATCGTCGCGCTCCTCATACTGGCTCTCCGGCGTGTCCTGACCCGGAACCTCACCACTGGCCTCTGCGTCATCCTGACGCAGCTTTGTCGCTGCCAGTCGCGCCTCGAGGGTCTCGCGCCATTTCAGGTCCTCCTCCATTCTCTCTCCCGCAAAGAACGATCCCATGACCGCATTTACCTGTTCCAGAAGCTTCCACAGATGCGTGAACGCCTCTGCCGGCGTGAGCTTGATCTCCGTGATCAGGCGATCCATCTTATTAATGATCAAAATGGGCCTGATATTCTCGAGCCATGCCTGCCGGAGCACGGTGACGGTCTGGGAGCAAACACCCTCGACGGCATCGACCAGGACTACTGCACCGTCGCAGAGACGGGAAGCGGTGGACACCTCGGAGGAGAAGTCAATGTGGCCGGGGGAATCGATCAAGTTGATAAGGTACTCGCTTGGCGCAGGCTCGGATTCGGGGGTGGGGCATCGCATTAGGCGGAAGTATAGGGAGATGGCGGAGGACTCCATGGTGATACCGCGGAGCTGCTCATCCGGGCGCGAGTCTAGGTAGCGGACGCGGCCGGCGAGTTTGGAGGAAATAATGCCATTGGTGGCGAGTAGGCAGTCGGAGAGTGAGGTTTTGCCATGATCCTGCGTTAGGCGTTAGTAGGAGGTTTCCGAGGAGCTGTGGGAACTCTGAGGACTCCGGTCCGGGACTTTGGGGAACTATCGAAACACTGGGAAGGGAAATGATTGGAAGGGTAGAGAGCGTCTGCAGTGATCGCCTCAGGGTATAGTGGCGGAGAGTATTGAAACTCCGAGTAGTGGTATGGACCGGTGAGGCGATCGGCTTCAGGGTTTCGGGAGTAAGGAATGGAATGGAGGGAGGGCACATGTGTTAATTTTGGAAACTCACCACATGCGCGAGGATGCAGATCTGTAGGGCGATTGTATGTAAGCGCGGTGTTTCAAAACACAGTGACGCTTAGACTTAGTTTATTTGGGGGGGGGGGGGGGGGGAGACTCACGTTTCGGATATTATCACTGTTCTTCTGAAGGGCGACTATTTGAGCCGGAGTGATGGGAGGCATCGATTCAGACTATGGTGGTAGTGGTGCGCGGTGTCGAATTATTGACTACCCAACTACTGTTCTGATGCAGTACAGCTTGAATTATTGGATTGATAACTGAACCCGATCGATATGTATGTGCTTTAGATAGACGAACGTTTCGAAAGTAGGTCAGGGGGGTGGGAAATGGGGTGGGGGTGAAAGCTGTGTTATGTGGCGGCGAATTAGACAAGAAGATCGTTATTCTGGGAAAAGTAGGAATATTTATTTTATTGGCGGGGTACAAGAAGACGCTTGGTGGGGGAGGGATGAATCATGGATGGGTTTTGCTTGGATGTCTTTCTTTGGCTGGCTAGCTGGGCCAGGTATGTAACTAGCTGGGGCTGACTGTTCCTGTCCAGTCACTGACTGGACAGTCTGCCCGTCGTCGTGCTGCCTGCCTGTCTTGCCTGCAGCGCGCAGCAGCAGCAGCGCTGAAACAAGGAAGGAGGGTAGGAACACCTAACCCTAACTAACTACGGACAGGACAGGACAGGACGGACAAGCCTTGCTGATTGGCGCCGCTTACATACTCTACGGGTAGAGGAGACAGGGGTTGTGGGGACGAATGGGGGCGTGAGTTCATGTTGACGCTACGCTGAACGTGTTGACGCTGCATTTGTGGTCCGCTGCTGTGGGTGCACCTTGGTCCTTCAAGGGCCTCAGTGCCTAGGATTCGATTCGAGAACCTTTGTGCCTGGTTACATACTCTACCAGTGGTTAACTTTATTATTGTGTGTGCCTGTCTTTTTCGGATTTCTGTGTGTGTATCGTTTTTTTTTTTTGTTCCCGTGTCGAAATTTCTCTTCTGTAGCAACTACATGTACTCACTCTAGTCTCTAGTGCCCCCATCTATTCTTACATCACACGCATCACCAAATTATTCTATTCACACCTCACATTCACTCTCGATCTCTCGCTCGTTCGCTTTCTCTCTCTATAGCCTCTCGCTCACGTTCATTCCTGTGTTACACTCATCTTCCCAATAATACATCCAGATCATACATCCATTAATAAACGCTTGATCCTCCACCCACTCACCCCCCCCCCCCCCCCCCACACACTCCTGCTCTCTCACTCACTAAAACTTCTACATTCGGCTCTGCATCGCTCACTCAACCCCCCCCCTCGCTGCAGCTGCATTTCTGGAAATGCTCTCAACGCAACCGTTAATTCCCGTCCAATCATCACTCTGCTCACCTGCTGCCATCTCCACCTCCACTCCGACGTCCGTCATCTCCCCTCCATAACAAACATCCTCCATCCTCTCTTCCCACACATCCATCTCTCGTCGCCCATTAAATATCAACTCCCCCCATTAATCAACACACCGTTCCCACAACAACATCCAAAACAACGCACGCACCATACCAACCCATTTCTCGCAGGCTCCGAGTCAACCACCCCTTTACTACGACCTGGGCATGAACATTTCTCACCACTCAATCTCGCCACGGTAGCCCATAATACAACCAAACAGCAAAAATGTCGACAGCTCAAGTTCTCTCACCAATATCCCCCCCTGGTACGGCCCCCATCAACGCGTTTGCCCAGCGAGAGCAACCACCGCAGCTGCGCATGCGGACGAATACTGCACCTATCGCTGGCGTGGACCAGGACGGAGCCTTTCACATGGACAAGGTGATCAAGAGTGGTTGGCTAATGAAGAGAAATAGGAAGACAAAGGTAGCTTCTGCACTCCCCCCCTCCCCCTTTCCACCCACTTCACCCCCCCACCAATGCTGACGTGTAGGCTTTCAAGAACTGGAAACGTCGCTGGTTCGTCCTACGCGGTGATCGTCTGCAGTCGTACAAGGATCAGAAGGAGTACAAGATCCACCGTCAAGTCTACCTCAACGAGCTCACGGCAGTGGCCGTCCTTAAGGACGCGAAGAAGCCCAACGTCTTTGGCCTCTTTTCCCCGTCGCGGAATTATCACTTTCAGGGCGAATCGTTGAAGGATACAAATGAGTGGGTTGAGTGCATACGCAGCACTGCAGCCCTTGCGGACGCGGACGATGACCTCTACCTCGGCTCTCCAATCAACGCTCACGACCCTACGAACCCGCTTTCTAGCCCGACTGCTCCAATGAGCCCGGATATGAGGTTAGGATCAAGCTCGCCCGAATTTGGTACGAACTCGGGGGCTGTCAAGATTAGGGGCATGGGACGTGGTGGCGTATCATCGCAGACTTTGGAGTACTCAGGGGCGGAGGTTGGGTCGTTCTCGTCAATGTCTGACGGGGCCAGGATCTCGCAGTTGTCATTAGGTGCAGGGATCGACTCGGGAGCCGAAACGGAACCACCACACCCTGGGATGGTGAGGAATGAGTCTGGGTTTTCGACCGATGTAATGGACGGTGGTGGAAGGGTAGTGTGGCATGGATATTTGTACTGTCTCAAGTCAAAGGGCGGTGTAAGACAGTGGAAAAAATACTGGGTGGTGTTAAGGACTATCAATCTGGCTTTCTACAAAACTGAAGAGGTACTATCCAACTGTGCAGTAAGCTTGAAGGTCCAGATTTGACTAACCAAACTAGGAATACCGAGCTATCAAGATAATCCCGCTAGACAGCATTGTCGATGCTGTTGAGATTGACCCAGTGTCAAAGTCCAAAAAGCACTGCATGCAGGTCATCACTGAAGGCAAATCGTTCCGATTCTCGGCACCAAACGAAGAAGTTCTTGCGAAATGGCTTGGCGCCATGAAGAGCACTCTTTCAAAACGAGCAATCGCAAACACTGCCGGCCCGCTCACTGGGGTAACATCTCCTGTGATCCCTCCTGTGGCCCCGATGCCAGCTGTCGGGTCACCAGTTGTCGGGTCGCCGCAGCAATCATGAAATAACCCTTTGTAATCGATTTTTGATGAGCCTGGAAGTGAGAAAAGACATTATCATAGGAATTTCTTAATGTCATTGTGCGGTTGGTAACATTGATTGTTTTTCTTCTTGTGTCATTATTTTCCGTTTATTTATTTTTTTTTTGCTGTGAAGAGCTGGCGAGCGGGTTGGATTGTCTATATAGGTGGTTTGGTCTAGTTTTTTTCCTCACTTTTTTCCTTTGTGTTCTCTGTTGAGATGCATTATCAGCTGGGGTTTGGGGTTCTTGATTTGTTCTCTCGTGTGTCCTACTACATTGCCGACCTGTTGTGTTGCAGTTGTGAGTTTTATACGAACCTGCACACTAACTGATTCCTTTCGTTTCACTTTTCTTTTTTCCAATTTCCATTTTATCTGCAATGTTCCTTTTGTCTTTTGTCAGTCGCTCTAGTGTTATCATATATGCTAGCAAACAGAAAGTTTCATTTGTCGACAAGTCATTGGCTGCACACGCATACACACCACACTCAGTTGTTGCGTCACCATCATCACCAGTTTTGCTTTTCCTTCTCTTTCTTTTTCTCTTTTACTCTTTCTCTTTCGTTTTTATATTTGAAAGTCGTCCGTCACAAATTAGTTTTTAGTTAGTTGATCTTCTAGTTATTTGCATGGCGCTGTGTGGATTTCGCGTTTTGACTTTTTTATTTCCCTTTCTATGCCGATATCTCTCGCATCGCATTCTCTTTATTGCGCTCGCTCCAGTGCTATTGCTGCCCTTTCTATGTCCGTCCGTCTGTCTGTTGTTATAGTAGCTATTAGCATTAGTAGTATCCCAGCCTAGGGCCAAAGGGGGGGGAAAGGAAAATAATAAGGACCGCCGGATACAATCTAACTCCATTTCAGATATACTCACCCCCGTGCAATTCCCATCCCATCCCAATCCCAATCCCAATCCTAGCCTCTCCACGAGTGACCCCCCATGAAGCAACAGCAACACCCTCCCACTCCACAAAAGGGGGGGGGGGACCAACCGAAGCGAAACCGCTCCAAACCTTTTCAACAGCGCGCAAACAAGCCGCCGGACGGAGGAGGAGGAGGAGGAGGAGGAGGAGGAGGAGGAAGATGAGGAGGCTCATTAAACCATTATATCTGTGCGGAGATTGTAGGCTACTATATTTACATTGGAGGAGGAGGAGGGGTGTGTCTGTGTGTATGTTTTTCGCGGGGTAATTTCCGGGTCGCGCGTGCGTTTGCCCAATGCGGTTTAGCGGGAAGATGGGTGGTGGGCGGCGGCGGCGAGTGAGGGGCTGTGATTGCGTTCGGAGGAGAGAGAAGGGAGGGGGTTGTTTTGGATGGCGGTGGGGATGTTGATGGTGATGTTGATGGTGATGTGAGGGAGGATTTTCGCCATTGAGGGGGGGAGGGGGTGCATGTACGTGTTGCTCACGTGTAGTTACTAGGTATCGGTATCATGGTACTGGAAAAAGCCAGAAGCAACACCAACATCGTGGTATTGTAGTGCATGGTTCATATGTAACCCTGCGAATGAGTTTTTAGAGTGATAGATCGATACTCGTGGGTGATGCTGGCGATCACTCCAACACCAAGCAAAGCAGTCTCAGAATCCTGGCTGTTCTATAGGTTGACATCATTTTCGGCAGCCATGAACCGCCTAGTCTCTTAGGTTCTCCAAATTTCCGGGATGTGCGGGTTGGAACAATTAACGTTTAGCGTATTTGCATACTCTACCATTGCTTATGCCATCCTACCCGCCCCAAGCAGCCACTTGTAGAATTGCGGCATTCTCATCCGCTGGGGAGGGTGACAGGAGACTTAGCGCAGAGAAGTACTGCGGATCAGGAAATCAAGGAGATCGATGAAACGCGCCCTTGTTTTTCGATGCCCATCTACAGAAACGAATGTGTGGCGTAAACCTTTTTGGGGTTCGCCGTTCACAGGGTATCACTCGGTCTTGGCGTGTAACTAGTAGTCTACTAATCCACGCGAGCATGAAAACAAAACACAGGGGAAAAAAAGACCTTGCTTGACGATCACTATCCAATCTCTGGAAGTTGATAAGAGTATATAGATGGAAGATATCTTCGTAAATTGGAAATAAAGAGTCATACAAACTGTTATCATAAAAAAGTAACTTTAAAAATCAAGATCCCAAAACTTCATCCCAAATCTGTATAACATAAGAAACAGTAACAAGCTAAACATTCCAACAATTTTTCCTCCAGTAATCCACAAATTTTGAAACCAACTTTGTATCTACCACCCCGATGTCCCTCAGTGTTGGTGAGAGTGCTCTTGCCAACTCCGTACGATAATACAACCCCTTTCCAACTCTATCGTTATCGTATTTCTTGGCGAAGAAATCCACCAGCTTGAATGTCGGATTCTTCACTGGGTCTGGATCAGACTTCCGAAGCTTATCGACCCAGTCCCGTTTTCCGACAATGTCAAATTCAAGACCGGCCTCTTTCAGAGCTGGTAGAAGATCGTTGGTCCAGTGGATTGTGTTTGGGTTTACGACATGGAACAATGCATTCAACGGAGCATCAGCAGAGGGCACAAAAGCCAATTCGAGGACAACCTTCGCGACAATGTTGACGGGTAGCCAAGTAGGGGTATCTTCGAGAGCAGGCAAAGCACCTGTACTTAGGGCACCTTGTATCAACAGCGGGATGGCCTCTGTCGCGTTCCAGATACCGTTATCAGTGTCACCAACTACTTGGCCAACACGGTGAACACGGGAACTCATGCGAGCCTTCTTCGCAGCCAGATTGCAAATATTTTCTGTGATAAGCTTTGAACGGGCATAGCCCATGGGCTGAGCAGATTGGAGATATGTTTCAACGGATTCGGGGACCTGGGAGCCAACAGTTGCCGCAACAGATGAAACGCTGGAGAGAAAGTTGAACCCAGCCGGAGAGGGACGATTTGAGCGGAGACACAACTTAATCAAGTTGTGAGTACCTATACTTATTGTTAATAATGCACATGGTATAGGGACTGTATTTGATCGATACCTCTGATGTGCTGTGCCTCAAAGCTGGTTACATCCATGTTGAAGTTGACTGACCATGCCGAATGGATGATAGCCGTAACTTTACATTTCAGCTCTTCATAACGCCCCTGACCAAGACCAAGATCCTCCTCCGCTAGATTCGATGGTAGACAGATCATTTTCTTTTTCTCTTCATCTGATAAATTATCGTAAACCCGTCTGACTTGTAAAGATTGTACAGTACGATCCCAAGCAGCCCTGGGAGACTCCGCGCGGACAAGGCAGAAAACGGATTTTACAGACTTCATAGCAACGAGTTGTGCTACAATATGGGCTCCAAGGGAGCCAGTAGCCCCAGTAACGACCTATTGAGAATTTATTTTAGCGGGCTTTTTATGCTGAGTGGGTAAAGGGGAACATACCACATGCTCACCCTCGACATCAGAATCTCCAGGGATATGCATGGGAAATTCGGAGTATTTCTCAATCAATCTCTTCATGGTTTCTTCAACAGTCTCCTCTTCTTCCACGCCCGATTTCTCTGGAACTCTCAACCTGAACAAAAACTTCGAGAGTTGGTTGACTGATGGCTTTTCGAATACAATGTTTAGGCCTAGTGTTTGCCCACCAGTGTTGAGGTTTTTCAGGATGGCAGACCTAATCCGTGCAGCCATCAAGGAGTCCATCCCTATAGAGAAAAAGTCTGTATCGTCTCTCAGGATCAAGGGATCTGGCAACCTCAACAAACTGAGAACGGTATTGCGCACAAAGTCCTTGATCTCAGTTTCTGGCAACTCTAAACCACCATTAACGGCGCCTCTCTCAATGTCTGCATATATCTCCTCGATATCTGATTTGAATATATTGTAAAAAGCAGCTCTAATCACCGTGCCTTTATCTGTCCTAGGAAATGGGGTACCAGGGGGTAAGAATCTAACCATCTCCTGGGATATGCGGGCATATTCAGGTGCAAGGGTATTTGCGGTCTCAAATGAAGGCCAAACCCTCTCCATAACTTCTTGTTCTAGCATCCCCCTGGAGTTATCGGAAAGAATAACGATTGATCCCAATTGTTGTTTCCCTGCACCAAAAACGACTGCTTCGGATACATATGGATTTTCGCGCACCGTATGTTCGGTTTGGATTGGATTTGCCTTTTCACCATTGACGAGCACGAGCGTATCGTCTAAACGGCCGAAGTATTTCCATCTATCCTCTTTCGTAGGATGTTTTAGGAAGAGGTCTTTTGTTGCGTAAGAGCCATCTGGGCGGTTTGTAGCGACCTTGGACGCCCATCCATCGAGGATTACTAACTCGTAAACATCACCTGCCTGCTGATCCCATCTGACAAAAGGCTTGAGGTTTGGAGAAACCTTGAGATAATTCCAGTCGTAATCGCCATCCTCACGAAATGAAGTCATCAGTTGACCAGTCTCGGTCCTAGAAATTGTTAGCTAATTGTTACCCCCCGCTCAATGAATATTGACAATATAACTCACGTTCCATAATGCGAAACTAGCTTTACACCGTTCTTTACCAATCGATCACCCAAAACATCCGGGCAACTTGAACCACCAAACATGACCAAACGGCACTTCTTCAATGCCTCCATCCCCTCCCGTGACTCGGCAAGCAATTTCAGTGCATATGGTACACCGTAAAATATCTCTGGTGGGTGCCTTTCCATGCTCTCGACAAGATACGGGCTTGTAAGCGGTAAATCGGCATTATAAACATGGATCTGTCTGCCGGAATGAATTGCACGAAAAACGGAAGATATACCATGAGCATGGAATAAAGGAAGTGTGATGAATCCGTTCATACTGAAATTGTTGGAATAGTTCCGTAGAGCTGCGGCATGCGTTTGTTTTATGGGCTTAGGAAGACCAGTGGAGCCGCTGGAGTGAATGATCCAACATATGTTGTTTGTTTCCACATTGGGGTCAAGATGTGCGTCAAAAGCAGTTGAGAAAGAAGGATGTGTTTTGGCCAAGGGATAATCGTAGGATGTGCGTTCAGGCATCAGATGTGTTATCAAAGTTGGGAGAGAACATGTGGCTTTAACTCTGGAAATCGTAGTTTCGAATGATGGTTGGATCACAATGTGCGTGCATCCTGTCACTTCAATAAGTGATGCATAAGCAGCATCGGATATGCGTGTTGAAAGAAACAATACCGTGAACCCTAGCTTGCTAAGAGCTATTGTGCTGACCAAGTAATCGAAATTAGATGCCGCAAGAATTGCAACAACTTTCTCAGGTTCGGATGAAGAGTTTCGAGTGGCGATTAACTTCGAGAAGTGCATAGCCACACGGGCAGAAAAGATATCCAGCTGCCTGGCTGTATAATCCTTGTAATCGAGACCAGTAATTGGATATGCGATTAGAGGAGTGTCACCAGTTGTTTCCGCACGTGACCTGACAAGCTGATCAATTGTGAGAGGTGCAGGTACTGCAGAAACATCGTCATGGTTATCGTGAGTGATGAGAGCTGGAGCCATAGTTTTCCTCCCCGTGAGATGATGAAGAAAGGTGTACAAAGATGTATACATGTATATCTCTTGGTAATTTCCAAGAAGGATGCAGGTGTCTATGCTTAAGTACGGATAGCTTCATTACCAAGAAAAAAAATGCAGATATGATATACAATCCTTCCCCACAATTCCCATCGGATTTCGGGCTATCAGGGAGATGAATACAGCCGTAAAGGCTGTTACGGAAGATGGGCGTCGTTGCGGATTCACAACCAATTGGGTTGGGGTTCTTTTCCGGCGCTCTCCGGAAAAGCCACACCTCCGGTTCGGAAATACGGTCCTAGAGAAATTCAGGAACACAACACCCCCCTGGACCGAGTCGCAATCAATCCTTCGATTTGGGATATATACTGATTCGCGCAAAAAAGCTTGATTTTGGTCGGTAAACTCTCGGTTAATGATATCAAATTATAAGGTACACACAGAGTATAATACTCTCATGATCAATTAATTACAAATTTATCTGCACAACGTCCCGGGCCCACCTCAGCGCCTAGTAGAGTGGCCCATCTGGCCAGCCAAAGAGATAACCTCCGCTCACTGTTGCATCCAACCCTTGAAATGTGGAGTCTTCTCCGAGCCCTTGCAAAATAATGTCACCCATGTCCCCATATTCTATGCCATTACCACCCCATAATTCCGTCATACCCGTTTGATCGTCCAAATTTGATTGTTTAGGGTCGTTTATTGGAAAAATTGGCGATTCGGAAAAGGCAGGAGAAAATTGTGAGTGCGGTGGAACTGTACGGGATGATGGCGGTGGTTGTGAATTTGATTGGTGCTGGGTGTGTTCAAAGGGCTGTAGTGGTTGAATTGCCATGTCCAATGTGGTTCCAATGTTGTTGATGGTTTCCTTCACACTCGCATTATCACGATCTACTAATTCTAGCCTACTCTTGACTTGCCGCAATAGACCCTATTCGTTTCCAACAATGAGAATTGAACCAAAACTTAAGAAGTAAAAAACCACATACCTCCAATGCAGATGCATACCTCTGAGCCATCTTGTTGTTTTCTCCGGCAAGCATTTTCTCAATAGAGCAACATTTCTCTGCAGCTTTTAGCGCCGTTCTGCTCTTGCTAGAGTCCGGGTTTTGTGCAGCATAAACCAACATGACTGTTGCCGCGCAAAATGTAACATATGCTGAAAACTGGTCATCGTTAGATATGATGGAACGCGTTTGTAGCATAAAAAAACAAAATGAATATTATTTACCCAAAAAGGCGAGGAGATGGAACGCTTTTTAGCCAAACCAGAAACTAAATTCCACACTTTTAATGCAGCATCCAAGCAGCAATCCTGATAGACCTTGACTCTTGCATTTCGCGGCCTTCCAGGGCCGTTTGCAACAATCGAAGAAGTAGGTGAGCTTGTAAGCCCAGAGAGCGGTAAGAAAGGTCGGTATATCATAATCAAAGCATGCGCATGTGCGAGCTGTATTACCGCCGATTGTCTGTAAATTCAAGTAAATGATAGTTCATTTAAAAATCTATGAGTATTGACCCATACCGTGCGTATATCAATAACAAACTTCCAGGGGCCTTTACTTTGAGAAAGCCCGGTAGTGAGTTTTCCCAATCTGCAATCTTCGCCGCAAGACCATCAAACACCGCCATCTCCTCTAAATCATCCTCTTCGGACTTCTGTCGGTCATTGTAGAGTGTTCGAAGGGTCAACCGTACTATGCGTGCTAGCCTAACACAATTGACCCTGTCAGAATCATGAACGAAGATAGTATCAGCAATTTTAATTCCATTTATGTACTTACTTTGCGTGAGCAATAGGTGCGTGCATCAGAGATGGCGCGCAATCTCCCTCATCGAATTCGACTTCATCGACATCAGGGTTTATGTCAACATCAGTTGACGCTGATCTCGAATCGTCTATCAATTTTGGATATTGTTCTGTCACATCATTATCATCCCAAGTTAATGTTTTCCCTAGCATCGTACACAGATATCTATTTTAATTAGTAAGTATAGCTCACTAGATCAAGCACTTTAGAAGGAAAAAGCCTACGAATCCAGGGTATAAACTGCCCATAGTGCTCTTCTTCGTGACTCCAAATGCACAGTATCCAGATTGCTCCGAAGCCGTACCCTTCGATTCAGGTCCAGACTGTTCGCCATGTTTTTTACCGACGCAAAAAGATCCCATGATGCTTTCAAACGGGATTTAGTTAGGAGGTAGAGACACTATTTTTTGCGCGGTATGGGATTAGAAAAAAATCTCTCAATATCAATTAATTAACATAAAAGCATGTATGATGGAATTGAGAATATGTTTCTATACCATAAGTAATTTTGCCTGCAGTGCCGCAAGTCTATCGATTTGTGATTTTTCCTTTTCCAGTTGAAGTTGTGCACATTGATAGAACTGTATCCTGAACCTTCATCAGAACTTCTAGTCCCATCGTTTGACAAGCATTCATCAAAACCACATGAGATCGGTGCAGGTGAATTCCAAAGCTCAATTCCCCCTCCACAACCCATAAACCAGAGAACAACCAAAAAAAGCTCCAAGCAGTTTTATGGGACTCTGATATCCTTGGTTATCATCTAAGGCCTGATGGGCTTGTGTTGCATCGAATTTTGGTGTTCGACTAGCTGCGCACTGGTTTCATGAGGTTTTGGTGAATGCCGACATGTTTATATAAAAAAGCGAACTCACGACATTCTCCCATATTTCTCTTTGTCCTCCTCCTTTTCAACCAATGGATATTGGCATCCCAAAGCCCAAACCATGAAGACAATTGCACAAACACACCTATCCTCTAATTTTTTACAATCCGTATTGCCACCCGCGTAGAGTCCAGCATCGATGATAGCCTCTACGCTTGCCCGATGCAATACCCGATAAGTAGGTGATGCGTTCTCAAAGTACCACCTTGAATATAGATATGCCTGCTCCCGTGTTGGAAGTGAGAACATAGCAAGGTTCAATTGTGGGAAAGGAGGCTCAGAAAACCAAAATTGATTGTTCTGATTTCTGATTCTATTGTTACTCGTGATGCGTCTTTGTGGGAGGTCACTACTGGTATATTCGCTTTCATTGTTGTTGACGCGTGGACCTTGTAGGTGGGAAGATGTTGAAGGTGGGGTGGATAAGTGCAGGTGGGCGGCTTCAGAAAATACAAGATTTGAAGAGGATCCTAACGCGTTTATGATAAGAGGCGATAATGAGGATGAATTCTCTCTTTCATATGTACTTACCGAGATAAGACTCATGATGCACTGCATCAACGCTTTCATCACGGCTAAGATTGAGGTCATGGGAATCTTGAGGGTCCTGTGGGTCTTGAGACTTGACACGAACCGTGCTAGACGTCGGGCTTTGACTTTGTGAAGGGTTCGCAGGTAGAACCTCAGGCACAGTGCCCCGGAGATATGGTTTTTCATAGGAACATGCTTTTGAAATAGATCAGAATTTCAATCTTATCTCGAGGATATAAGGAATTAGGACTTACTTTCCCCACTGGTAGTACATCGAGTACATGGCTGTTTTGTCGATTATCAGAATTTAAATGAATTGCGGTAAACAACAAGATTGAACCTTACTCGGGTACCATCGCACTTCGACTTTTTCCTAAGAAACAGAAATCAATTTCACAATCCATTGATAGAGAGCTCATGGGTGAATATACTCCTTGCAACGATCACAAGCTCTAGTAGCATTCCTTCGCCTTTTCTTTATTGGGGGCCCGATGTTTCCAGGAAACCGTATGTCCTCCATATTGCTCATCTCCTTCGTTCGTACAATTAAAAATAAAATAAAAAAAGTGTTATCTACTCGTGGTGTAGTAGATTGCGGGGAAGGAGAAGGGATGAGATGCACTGGCCAGCTGGTTCATCCGTGGTATGTAGTCAAGCTTCGTCATATTTCGGCTATTGTGCCCCCACGTGTGCGGAATAACTTTGCATGGCATGTTCAGGGTCTATTCGGGTGCACTAGCCGAGTTCACCCCGCATACAGTTAATTGACACCACCCTGCAGTGGTAATGACAAGGCGCATCTTACATCTACATGTAGGTATTACAAGTGCCTGCGGATATATTTAGGACCAATACTTCACTTTAATTTGGGGAAGTTTGTTTGAACGTGCGTGTATGTAGTTCTTGTTCATATCTATCTGATCGTAATAACGGGGTTGCTATCCGAAAACGATTGTCACATACTTTTAGCTGTCTACATAAATTTGTTTTTCTCCTTAATGAAGCCTATAGACCGGCCAGATCTAACATAATATTCCATTGCTAACACACCCGTCTAAAGATACTAGGCTTTCTTGTTTGCCTCCGCCCAATCAAGTGCCGCCTGCTTAACCCTTTCATCACCAGCCTCATCGAAAATGTCATAACCCCAATGAGCAGGGAAGTTAAATCTTTTGTGTCTTTCTAAAGCATTTAATTCCTCAAACTCTGCTTCGGGGATTATGAAATCTAAAATTTCCCCACAAATTAGCCTCGGAGAAATAAAGGTACTTGAATAGATGAATCGAATGTACCTTGAAAATTCGACTCTATCCTCGATTTTGTCACGCTCTTGGGCAACACAACATGTCCTTTTTGAACACCCCAGCTAACCAGTATCTGGCCTCGATCTTTACCTAGCCTCTTTGACAACTCATGAACCTTCGCATCATCAACAGTTCTCGGCTCACCGGTTTGATTATTCCCGAGTGGCGAGTAGGCTTCGATAAATATGCCCTTTTCTTTGCAAAGCTTCATCAGAGATGGCTGTTGAAGGTATGGGTGGACTTCTATCTGGTTGACTGCTGGGACAACGGTGCATTTTGAGAGGAGATCGTTGATTCTGCGTTCATTAAAATTGGAAATACCAATTGCCTTGACTTTCTTAGTCGCTAGAAGAGCCTCCATTGCTTTCCACGTATCAACGTAGCTTACTGAACTGAGTTCGAACTTGCCCTCACTGTCGAGAGGGAACCAATCGCTTCCTGATCGAAAGGCGCTGTTTAAATCACTCATAAGCTACTTGACTTCTAGGGGCATGCTTCATTCAGCTTTAGAATAAGCCCACTCTTACCATGGCCAGTGCATCAGATAAAGGTCTAAGTAATCCGTCCCCAAGCATTGTAAGGTCCGGTCCAGTGCATTTTCGACATCGTCAGGATGATGCTTGGTATTCCACAGCTTCGATGTCACCTTTATTTGTATGGATCATTAGGTCAAGCTGAGAGATCCAAAAATTTAAAGAAACTTACAAAGATATCTTCCCTTGGAACACCTGAAGCCTTTATTCCTTCACCAACTTCAACTTCATTACGATATATAGCAGCACAGTCGATATGTCTATATCCTGCACGGAGAGCAGCTTCCACGGCAATTCTGACTTGGTTGGGTTTTGCTTGCCAAGTTCCGAAACCAACGGCCGGAATCTGCGCTCCGGTGTTTAAAGTAAAGGTACGGTTGAGAGCCATTGTTATTATCGTCTGAAGTGGTATATAGTTGATCAAGTAATGCGGAGGCAAGAGTGAGTTTTTAAGTATATGAACATAGCACCGTGGAATTAAGTATATCTATATAATTTTTTCTTGCCGGATTTTCGCCTCATCGTTTACGCGCGGATTGCAAGGCAGTGGTTGAGATGGAATTCCGACCCAGCGACAATCCCTGTAAGAGCATATTTCCGAAACCCGGGCCATTTCCGGAACGAAGCCTCGGAAAAGCCGCATTTCCGAAACGAACAGTTCCTGGATTCGTTTATCAGTGATCACCACTTCCAATCTTCGTTGCCTTGGATTGCATTGGTATGGACTAGGGAGCGGATAACCTCCGCATTTCGCTAAAGAGACGTAAATCCTTGTTTCCCCACTCCCGTGACCCCATTTCAACGGCTTCCTGGGCTCACTTAGAGCAAGCCACCAAAGACCGGAAATGCTCAAAAAAAAATGTGAAGACGTGCCGTCTTTGCGCGTACGTGCAGAAGTTTACATTCAAGATATATAATAACCAAAAAAAAAAAAAGCTCTATATAATCTCACGTTCCCAGTTCCCCTTTGCTATCCACCCGTCCGGTATCAAAGCCAAGAGATAATTACCCCTACAGCAAATACCTACAAGGAACTGCCAGTCGATCCTGAATCCAGCAAATCAGAATGTCTATCCCCAGCACCAAGTCGGGAATCGAAAAGTCTAACCAGGTTATGGTTGAAGACATCATTGGGTCGCAGCATCAAACTCCTAGGCCGGAATGCCTGGTCAACAAATCCCCCGAGGAATTGGAAGCAATCAAGAAAACTATGCTTAGAAAATTGGATACAAGGCTCATGCCTACCTTGATCATATTATTCTTATTGAAGTATATTTTTTGCACATACAAAACATTTGGAAAACATTTGGAAAACAATGGCTAATCTTGTATAATCCATATAGTATCCTCGACCGTAACAACTTCACCAACGCTAGATTGGGCGGCTTGGAAGACGACATTGGCCTCAATGATCATCAATATAATACGTCTTTGATGATCATGTATGTTGGATACCTGCTATTTCAATTTCCATCCAACGTGATATTGTCTAGATTTCCTCGCCCGGGTATCTATCTTTCAGTCGCAGCATGTCTTTGGGGAGGTGTAAGTGATCCTAAGCAGAGAATATCGGTAAATTATATTAACTTTATTCTTTTTAGGTGTCTGCTTCTATGGCAGCTGCTCACTCCTACGGTGCTGTGCTGTCTATTCGTTTCTTTTTGGGTTTCGTTGAGGCCCCTTTCTTGTGAGATAGCCCCTGTTTTACTTCAGTTTCCGAAAAAGAATACTAAACAGCATTTCTCATAGCCCCGGTGCTTTACTACTCCTGACTTCATGGTATTCTCGCGCTGAGCTTCCTCCGAGAATTGCCTTTCTTTACGCCGGAAATACTCTCTCCAATGCCTTTGGGGGAATGATTGCTGCAGGTGTTTTGGACAAGATGGAAGGTGTTGGTGGATTACGTGCTTGGAGATGGCTATTCATCATCGAAGGATGCATTACCGTCGTTATCGCTATCGGAGCTGGCTTTATTTTGCCCAACTATCCTAAGAAAACCCGATGGCTTACCGTCGAGGAACGCGAATTCGCTGTGTGTCGTCTGACTGAAGAAGCCGGTGGTGTCGAAGACGACGACGGTAGCTCCATCTGGAAGGGTGCGCTTATGGCCCTTGCGGATCCCAAGGTCTATCTACTCATTCTCCTCCAACTTTCCCTCCTTGTTGGTATGGCATACACCTACTTCTTCCCAACCATCATGAAAACTCTTGGATATAACAACATCATTACACTACTCCTGACCGCACCTCCATACTTTCTTGCCTTTTTCACCTCCATCGGCAATTCCTTACACTCCGGAAAAACTAATGAGCGTTGTTTCCATATTGCCATCCCTCTCACCATTTCCATGCTTGGCAATATCCTTGTTGTGACCCTGGAAACCACTGCTGGTCGTTACGCCGCTATGTTTCTTATGACTATGGGTGTCTACAGTGCCTTCAATGTCACACTCTCGTGGGTCTCATCAACAATCCCTCGCCCAAAAGCCAAACGTGCTGCCGCACTTGCCATGGTCAATTCTATCGCCAACTGTACCCACTTGTTCACTAGCTACCTGTACCCGAGTACGGACAAGCCCAGATACCTGAAAGCCGGGTTGGTCCTAGCTACTTTTACTGGGGTTTGTGCTATTACTGCAATTACTCTTAGGACTTGGTTGAAGCATGAGAACCGCAAGCTTGATAGGGAAGAGGGTTTTGCGCCAGATTCTAGCGAGGAAGTTGGGACTGATGGACGCAGGAAGGGATTCAGATATACCCTTTAAACGGTAGTTGATGGCAATCAGTGACTGGTAGTTAGTTTGGTTATTATGTGAGATACTTATGATATCGTTGGTTTTGGTTGGCTCTTCTCGGTTGATGGATTCGGTGGCCGCGTTGTTTATTTATGTTCGCAATCTGCGTCGATGATTAAACATTTTCTAGTAGGTGAATTCAATTTCAGAGTTTAATATTGTACTCTAGCTGGCCATATATTTAAGAGATAAACCCTCACGAAGCATTGTCACTAATACCGAGCATTCTAGCACCGCACACAGTGGGGCAAAAGATCGAGTGATATACTATGACCAAGACCACTACTAGCCAATGCCAGCCCATACCCCAGCATAATGAATTATACTAGTCTCGTGCCCAGCCTGTGTTTGCTTGATTTGTGTCTGCACGCAGTGCGACAACAAAACAGTCTGGGAACGAGACTAGAATTATACCCATCTTCCGCTGACATGTACATCCTTCCGTCCCCACACCGGGTTTGGCGTTAACCACAAGCAGCCCAATTGCAAGTAATACAATACATATACACGAGTCATTACGACTCTCGAGGGGTTCGTGGGTGCCGTTCAAAGTTTCAAAAAACGGAGCAAAAAAAAAAAAAAAAAAAAGGAAATTCCGTGTTCCAAGGTCCAAAGCAGCAAAAAGGAGAGGCATCCCGCTCTGCTCCTTTACCCAGTCACACAGTGTATGTTTTCCCACCAAGTCTGGGAGGTTCGAACTATTGAACTCGGCCCCTCTGGGCGACACTTCAGCTTGTTAGGCCACAGGAAGTGGTTGATGGTAGGTAATTTTCTAATTCCCTTAAAACTCCATGAGCGCTAGTGAGTCGGTAGCATACTTCCGTCCTCCACCGTGACCCTCGAATAGTTCATAACACTAGCAGTGGCCGACCTCGCGAGCGCGAGTTCCCTTTACTCCAATTAATTCTGCCTATCGTGGGTCTTCCATCTCGATTGCTCCCCCCCCCCAGGTCCTCTCCCGCCAGTGAAGGGACCTCATGAACCCATTCCCAGTTGATGGTTCTACCATACACCGTGGATACCCGTTGAACTCCTGTTTAAGGTATCTCTCAATACCCCGTTAATAAACAGGGTTTCCGCTCTTGACCAATCAGAGGGCGAGTAGGTTCGCAGAATTAAGGTCAGTACATATTAGAAGATCTACTCTCATCACCTTAACCACTTAACTCTTGCAGCCAGCATCGGTACATGTAACGAAACGTGTTTGTGATTTATTATCTGTACGTACGTCTATACGTATTCCTACTCGTAACTCTTTTTGAAAAATGACTGTACATCTACTTGTAATTATCCTACGCTTTTTTCGATAAGGCTGCTTTAAGAACATCAATGCTTCAGGTTGTCTGTCTTTGAGCAATCAATAAACCGGGCCAGTTCCTAATAATTAAATGTTCGGGATTGAATACATTTATGGACAGTTTTATTCACTTCCAACTGATTCACGCCTCCAATCAGACAGAACGCATACAAAACGTCGGTCCCAAACGTATTCTCCAATCGAGATTCAATTTTAACAATATGGGACAGTCTTATGGCGACTTAATAGGCGACTCGTCTAGAGACGAGCTACTGCCACCTGTTTAACCGCCCTTATTCTTCTTACTCCACCTCTGACCAGCCCCATCCCCATCTTCGCCCTTCTTCCTCCCCTCCACTCCTCATATTTTCCGCCTCTTCGCCTCTCTCTCCCACCCTCCAACATCTCGCTAGGTAGTCGTCCGAGATTGCGACCATATCGCCATCCATCGTCCACGTAAGGTCCATAACCTCTTTTTCATACCCCCTTACTAACGCTGCTCCCTTTCCCACTGGCATAATCTTACTGACACTTGCGGCCCTCGAGTCCTCTGGGTGCGATTGCGGATACAGTGATCGATCAAAGTAGCGTTCGTCTGTCGGGAAAACGATCGGGCAGTTATCTGAGGAGCCTGCTGAGAGCAATCTTCCGTCGCGGGAGATTGCAGTTTTGACATAGAAAGTCGATGCATGCAGACGAGGGTGGGTGTATGCATGAATAGGGCCGTTAGAGAGATGCTGGGTAGCGTACGCATATATCACACCATCCCTGCAAAGACTATAAAGCCTGGCCCCATCAGGGCTTAAAGTAAGTGAATTTAACCCAAAGGCCCTATTGTGATGTGTGGGCAATGCGCTTGCGTCTATAGCCACTGCGGCCTTCCCTTTTTTCTGAGTCGCCCGAATATCCCACACTTTAATCTCAGCATTCAACTCTGAGGCCGAAGCAATCTTATGTTCTTCGATCCAGGTTACCGCTGTCACACTCACGTCAACCCGCTTCTTGGCACCCCTACCCCGAGCAGTAGGAGGGGTATGAGCTTGATCAATAGAGTTGACAGGCTTGTGGATGATAAGGTCTTCAGAGCGAACACCAACACAGCGGGTATCCCAGATATTGATGCTGCCATCCCTTGAGCAAGAAGTAAGGACGAAAGGGTTGAGAGGATTGAATGCGACTTGTTTAATACTGCTACGATGACCTTGTAGAACAGAAGTGCACAATCGTTTCTGAACATCAAAGATTCGGACAGATTGGTCACCGGATGCAGTTGCCTAGAATATGGTAAACATGGTTGAGTCAAGGACATAGGAAATCGGATGAAAGGGTGGGGAAAGTGATATTACACACCATTTGAAAGTCGTCCGGAGAGAACGAAATGTCAAAAACAGCGTTGTCATGGCAATTCATGCCGGTGTAAGTTAGCCCTACGAGGCGTCAGAACAATCCTATTAATGAAGTGGTGTTTGGTTGATGTACCAAACCCGGGTGCTTCATCTTTTGCGGACTCAATTAACCGTACAGCACCAGATTCATCTCCAACCGCAACGAGCGAATTTCGATTGCATGCTTGTACCGTAAGAGGCAGCGAAAGGACATTCTCATCATTTACGACAGAATGTGAATCTTCCGGCCTAGAGTAAAATCCCCTCACCTCCATTTTCCAATCTGCCGTTACATTAGCATACTCCGATGACGTATCAAGAGACCCATACCGGCGCAGCTAAACCCCCGTTGACCTGGATCCCTCCATGGCACCCCATACCCGCCTAGGCTTCTCATCAAAACCCTATTGTTAAAGGTCGATTTGATTTTTCTTGGTAATGGCGGGGGAGGCCCTGGTTCAAGCTCCGTATCCTCCTTGGTCTCAGCATCTTCGATAAGAGGTGTTATAAATATTGGTTGTTCACTTTCGCCGAATAGAGACTTTGATATACGTGATCTCTTAGACTGTCGGTGAGATGGTGATGCTTCGGGCGATGGGAGGCCTCGTCCCCTTGAATTACTGCTACTTGCTGTGACCTTCCGGAGAGGATTCCGTCTAGGAGTAAAGAAAGGGTGGACAGCACTTATGGAAGTAGGGGCTTTATGATTTGGAGGAGAGAGTAAATTTGACGCTGGGTCTATGCTTCTTGTAGAGATGGCCGTGCGTTGGTCGGAGTGAGCTTTGCGATTGCTTGGAGTGACGGGCATAACTATAACTTATGGACGTGATCAATGAAATCCCCTCTGTTCTTCTGTGAAGCTGTTATTATATTTATAGGATGCCAGAATTCGAAATGGGAGGCCCTAGGGTGTGTTGTTGGTTTCGGAGGTTAATTCGGGAACGCGTCGCGTTGTTTGAAAGCCCATGCCAAGGATTAGTTGGGAAGTTTCACTCCTTCGTTGCCTTAACGACGTGTAGAGCCTAAAAGAGCCGCTGCAACTATCTCCTTATCTGCAGCGTGTGTAAGATTCGAAAGGGGTCAAAACAAAGTTTACAAGGGTCAAAACCCAGTTACCTACGATGGCCATTTCTCCCATTGTACCTTACAGTTCAGTGGCCTCTCCAATTTACAAATACTTTGTTGCGGTACATTGTTTCTCAGCCCCCACGAGACCAAATTTATCAAATGGCAGCTTCAAATAGCTAGCTATCCTCACGACAGCTTGTGATGTTACCCGTACTTTGCACCTTGGGGTTGTGCCGCACGATAAAGCGGGGTAGCTCTATCCATTGCGAAGTACCACAAAGAGTCTGATGTATCGTCATGCAACAGTTATCATAAGCCATTCACCCAAGCCTGTAGTCTCGTTCCCAGACTGTTTTGTTGTCGCACTGTACGCAGGATCAAAGCAAACACAGGCTGGGCACGAGACTACCAAGCCTGTACCTGTAGTGGGTATATGTAAACCTGATCCATTATATTCGTGATTCTGAAAATGCATGTTGGTAAGGTATTGCATCCTACAATCATCTACCGCTCAACTACCCGCTCGGCACGCGGCCTTCCAGTTCCTTATTTCTTGCTGATAACTCCTCGTTTCTCTTTCTTAAGTTCTCATTCTCCTCGTCCCTTTTTGCAGCCTCCTCTTTCAACTTCATATTCTCGGCCCTAACTAATGCCAACTCTAACTTCAAAACCCTTGCTCGCTCTTCTGCCTCATCGATCTTTGAAACTGTTTCCCCACTCAAACTCTCAAGTTTCTCGAGCAAGTCAAAGAGTGATTCGTCTATAAGACACGCCCGACGAGTCAGTTAGCCATCACCGGTAACGAGCACTCCAAATGAGCTTACTTCCTGGTTGCGTGCCCTACAACTCTCAGGTTAGCCACATAACAGAACAGCGATATACGGTAGAAGAATGCGAACCTCCATGCACTGCATTTTTAGGTACGGGTTTATTAGGTGACTTTCGAAAGATGAGGTTCTCGGGATATATGCAGGGCAGACGCAGAAGGTCTTGGAAAGCCTGTCAATAATGAGATGTGGGGTTAGGATCGTGAGAATGCCAAGCGAAATCACATGCAGATTAGTGATCACGAGTAATTACTCGGCGTAGTATAGCGAGTGATACGGTGTGACGTGACAGGTCTTGCGTATTGTAAGCCAATTATAAAGAATGCTATGAAAGAAGGCGCTTTGAAAAACTGGTATATGTCCAGTATATTACTGCACTCGATCCGCTCCGTGATGGAAGAAGGATTCGTAGTTCCAAGCATAAAAAGAGTTCCTCTTAACGCCCGCTCATTATGTTCGCTTCGGAGAGGACCCCGTCCCTTCCACGGTTCCACCATCAATCTCTTTATAATCTCTTTTATATCCTCCCAATGCCTCTTACCAGAACGTACCCTCTTCTCAGAGCCCTCTTACACCACTTTTAGAACTCGAGTTTTGGACAATCTCTTCTGCGCCCGAAGTTTGCGTCGCAAGTCACGGACTTTCTTCTCCTTATGAAAAAGTCGATTCACAATCCTCACCATCAGATCCGATGGAAAGTCCCCCCCCCCCCCCCCCCCCCTCTCACAGACAGTAGATTATACATACCCACTTGAGTTGTCAAACTCTCGAGCCGGCTTACCGCAAAGTCTGATACGAGTTCCCCCAACCCCACCAATCGCGATATATCAGAGTAACTATACTCCACCAACTCAATAAACTATGAGGTAGCGCCTTGCTCAATATTTGATCATAGGATTCACGCATCAAGTTGAGTCGGTACCACGCAATTTCCTCGAGTACATCAACCCTTGTGTAGTGTGCAATCTTCGCCAACTTGGCATGTATGTACCAGCAGTGCATTCCCTTCGTCTTCGCCAGCAACAGCACCCCGTGTATCTGGAGTGTTTACCACATCGCGTGTACATGTTGCCGCCGAACCTGATCCACCCCCCGCCGCTACCCCCACTGGTATCTCCAAACTGGCCAATGGCATCCGTGTCGCTCTCTGTCATTGCCGGCACCTCGTAATCCTCAAAATACAGGAATTGGAGAAACAGCTCGACTATGTTTCCATCCCAGTACGATAGGTCAATCTTCTCCGCGCTGTCGTGGTATGACGACAGGAGATTTGATTGTAATAGGGAATCACCGTGGACTGAGAAATCTCTATCACTAGATTTGATTGTAAAGACCTTGGATGAAAAATCTGTACACAATTGACAACCTATATTATACAGACCCACCTATACCCACCCACCATCTCAGAACTTCTTCGTCGAATACGCACGATACGCCCTCCACGGCAGCTTCCACGGCCTCTTCTGCAAGCTCGGATCAAACGGGTCGAAATCCACCCCCTCCAGCCGCTCCAGATACAGCGCCGTCGGGACCTATAATATGCACAATCTCATCAGTCCCCCGCCAATTACAGAATCCAGGAACACTCACCGCACTCAGAAACGCGCCAAACGGCGCACCCTTCCCCTCTGCCCCCGCATCCCCCAACATCTTCCTCGCCGTGATCAAATGATCATTCGCCCTCGTAGCCACCGCAAACACCGCATCCTTCAGCCCCTCTGCCCCACTACCCTTTCTCAGTACGTCCTCCTGCCGCAGCCCGTGCTGCGCACACACATCCAGCGGGAACACCACCGCCCCCGCCCCCGCACTTCCCCCTGCGGGAAACGCTAGCAGTGGCATACCACGCAGAATAGCGGCGATACCGACGGCTTTCCCGATATGAGACGCTACGTGGTCGAGCGTAACGCTGTGCACGCCGAAGGACTCGAGACTGAGGTAGTTGAGCGATCCGTAGGTGCCCTCTGCATATGCCTCGAGGTCGTCAAGTGTTGCGAATGGAACGGCGCCTAGATATTGCTCCTGTCCCCCCCGTACCCCATCAGCACCCTCTCACCACTTTCACCACTCTCCCCACCCCACCTCCACCCCTCACCCCCGGAATACGCACCCGACAGCCAATAACCTTCTTAAACCACCCCTTCCCCAGCGGCGCTCCGCCCTGCAACACACTCGCCAGCAGCACCGCCACAGGCTCCGCCGGCGCCCGCCCAGAAAACGTAGAGTCGATGGCATCGCGCCAGTACTGCATGCGCATGCGGCCGACGGTAACGCTGGTCACGGCGTCGTCGATGAGCGCCGTGTCGATGTTGAAGGCGCGGACAGCGAGGTGGGCGTCTCGCGCGAGCGGGTGGATGAGTGCGGTGGTGAGGTGGGAGGCATAGTCGTGTTTCCTAGTGGGCGCGGGGGCGGGGTGTTAGGATGTGGTGGGGAGTAGTGGGTTGCGGGGGATGGAGGAGCGTACTGGAGGAGGGTGGCGCAGTAGGCGCGCGCCGAGTCGACGCTGGGGGGGGAGCGGGCGGCGGCGGTGTGGGTGGTGTGGGTGCGCTTTTGGAGGCGGGCGGCGGTAGTAGGGAGTAGGGCGGAGGGGGGTTTCGCCCGTAGCAGGGGGCGGAGGCCGGCGCGCATTTTGACTGTCGTGGGTTTGCAATTGAAGGTGAGGTGGAGTGGGAATATTTGGAGACTTCTGAAAAGTGTTGACGTCGTTGCCAGGAGGTTACACACGCCTAACCATGATCTCGGTGAATTGACCTTAATCCTTGACTGCCTTGGGAGGGCTGTTAACTGCAGAAGTAGTAAATGTCGTGGCAAACCTCAATCATCGTCTTCCTTAACCTGACACTTGTGGTTTAAATCACAACGAGAAACCTGAAGGCTGAATATGCTAGGCGTACGGCGACGATTCAGCACTCAATTATCTCAAACTAGGAATGTTTCCATTGTAGTATTAATCTTCGACCCAGGACTGTAGTCTTTGATGCTGGCGCCTTCAGCCTGCATGTGACACCTTGCAACCGACAGCCGGTGAGCGGTGAGCGGCGAGCGGCGAGCGGCGAGCGCTAATCCTGCACTCTATGCCTCGAATATCTACAAAACAGCCCAGTATTTACGGAATCAAGTATTGGCTATCACGCATGGTTAATTTGGGGTGAATTCGGGCGCTTCATCCGGCAACCATGGCTCCAAACAGCGCAGTTTCCGACAAAACGCTCAGACAACCAAACTATATTCCGCTGAAACCCAGGCCTATGTTGTGAAAACGCCACCAACATACAGATCTATCGCCCCAATGGGTGCATTATCTTTCATGCTGCCCCCTCTCACTCTGCTGGCCTGCGGCCAAGGCTAACACTGTTGTGTTTTGGACCATACACACGCGGTATTTACTAATTTCGGAAAGAAATATACGAGGGTCACCCATTGGGAACATCTCAATGGGTGCAGGAAATGGAGATGGGTGTACGACCTCCCGGTCAAGGCAAGAGGATAAAGGCGAGGCACATCCCCCTCCCAGTGAACAAGAAACTCCATATCAGCGTCCTCGTCTCACTATCCTCGTCTCACTATCCTCGCCCCACTGTCTTCGTCTCACTGCCCTCTTCTCATCTTCCCCACTCAATATAAGAACATGTCTTCACCCACTCCTCAAAACGAAGCTCCTTCCCAGCCCAGCGCGTATTACCCGGAGCACCTTAAAGAAATGTGGTCTGAGATCACAACGATGAACAATCACTTGTTCACCATTCGACAGGGACAGATTGAGCAAAAGAACAGTCACAGCCGTCACAATTGCTGTACAAGGATCTCGACATGATCTATAACATTTACACCTTGTCTCAACACGTTATTGCCGAACTCTCAAGGTAAGTTGCCACGCAGTCCCATTGATGTTACATGATGTTAAAGTACATGCCTTACAGGCACACCGCATACTATGTTCCCCCGCAACCAAACATCCATACATTTTACCAAGATGGATCTAGTTCGGCCCTCTATACAGATCAAGGTGATCACGCGGGTTCGTTTGCACGATCAGCTGCCTTGACACCACGACCGGGTGACCGTGAGTATAGCACCATGGTTCAGAATGAACCCTGGGAGCTCGTTCACAATGACCCCTATTCCCCTCCTCATTCTGCTCATTCTGTTCCTCCGATTTTTACTGCATACACCCCGGCTCCTTCTTGCGTCATGCCTGTCCCCCCTACTACGCCTGTGCTTCAACCTTTCCTCGCCAACGACCGTCCATATTCCCCTGCCCCTTATGTTCCCCCGCTTTTTACTCCATGCACCCCGGGTCCTCGTTGTGTCCTGCCTGTCCCCCATAGTACGCCTGTCCTTCCACCTTTGCTCCCCAGCGGCCGCCCATCACCCTCCCACCTCCAAAAACTTGCAACCCAATTTGATATCGCGCAACCTTCGCCTGTGCGATCACACGTTCCACGCGTTCCCACAGATGTACATTCTCCTCCTACCGAGTTACAATTGATATCCATGTTGGACGGACTGCATCTGTCTCCTCCGAACCAACTCACATCAATCATCAACCCGCCCACTCCGCACCACCACTTCTTCATCCAAGAAAGAATGGATGATGCCGCTATTTTCGGCTCTGCCTCGCGTAACACATGTAGGATTTTCCCACCCGCCCCCGTTTATTGTCATTAAACTCACATTTGTGTCATCGGAAATCATCACCTAGGGAACTGTTATATCGCCCCGCCACTCTAACACCAATACTACATGCCTGATCACCCCCAGTTCTCATAATCTATCCTTTTTATTTTCCCCCCCGAAACTCTTACAGACCAAGTCCTTACGTTTCATTGTGACATGCTTTTCCAGCTTTATCTTTGCTCCCTTGCTTTCCTGAAGTACCTCGCCTAGCGCAATGCTTTCCTTCTATCTTTGCTATTCAATGTTCTTTGTTATTTCATGATCCATTCTTTTGCATTTCTTTATGAAACCTTTTCAGACTGAATTTCTTATGTTGCCTTACGACACCGTTTTCTACTTGGTTTTGAATTATCCCGCGTAGCACCATGCTTTCATTCTGTCTTTGCAATTCAACGTTCTTTGTTGTTTCATCATTCCTTCTTTGGTGTTTTGTCTTGACGCCTTTCTAGACCCAATTTCTTATGTTTGATTACCACAAGGTTTCTGCTCTATTTTTAAATTATCTAGCGTAGTCCATACCTTTCTTCTGTGTTTCCTATTGCAATATTCAACTTTATGTGCTATCTCCACGACCCCCGAACCTCCCTTGTCGAGTGACATGATGTGATCTCGTGTTATGTTCGAGTGATTTTTGGTGACGAGACTTATTCTCGAGTGATCCTTGGTGACTTTATTGATTTTCGAGTGATGTATCGTGATCTTCGCTTGTTGTTAACCCCGGTAATCAGCGCATATCTCGTCGACGACGACGTCTTGCCGGCATGCGTCCGGGTAATCACCTGTCCAGTTCACCGCGCGTAAGCCAATCCGGGCAGAACCCGCGCGGTGCAATGCACGACCGCACGGGGGCCAGTGGGTACCGCGCGGGCACCAAGCTTGCCCCGCGCGGGTCCTGCACGGATTGGCTTACGCTACCGCGCGCTACAAATACCTCGCAGTACCCTCTTAGTTTGTACCTATGGCATCCACCTTTGCTCACCTTTGCTTCTACACTACACGGGATTGTGATTGTGATGGCTGACAACCGACCTAGCGGAGGGCGCTCGTACCGCGGCCATGCAATACTTCCCTTCGGGGCATTTGTCAAGAAACCCAAGTATCCGGCCCGTGAGGTCGATTCTAAAAACGCTGAGCGCCTGAAAAAGGTATTCAAGACATTCGCGTTGGAGAGAACATCACCCTTACGCCGCATTCCCGTGCTGCTTAGCGAAGCAGCATTCCAAGAGATACTTCACCGTTCTAACGTGCGAGAGGAACGCCTTACACATATACTGCAAGGGGACCTTACACATATCTCAGAGATTCCCAGGCTTGATGCGCCTGATGGAAGCGTGGAATATCTGCACGGTCATCATCGCATTTTGGCCGCAAAAGCGGGGCTTGCAGAAGAGGAACACTGGTGGGGGGTTGATGTATACATTGAAGGTGAGCGTATCTTATGCACACTACAACCCCCTTGTGACGGGACCCTGATAGTAAATACGCAGAGTATACAACAGCAGACGAGATATATTTCATGCAAAACCAATACGTCAACTCCGCCAATATCACGGACGAGGAAATCTTCCGTAACATTCGCCTTAGTGCTAGAGAATACGACAGGTGTAGAAATAGGGCATTGCGATATCGGTTATGTATGGTAATTACTCGTGTATAAGGGATGACTCATAGTAGGAACAAGGGTTTCAGATTAGGCTTAGTGCCAGGGATTATATAATATGGGGATCACGTGGTATTGGAATTATCTGTATATAAGGAGCAACAAACTTTGTCCCTTTTTTGTTGTCCTTGTTATCATGTATCTATCTACCTGCCAGCAATGAGCAAATTTAATCGTTCTCCAAAGACACCCGATGGCTGGTGTGCTCGAAACCCCCCCCCTTCTCCACCAATTGGTGTGCTAATCAATTGTCACACCGCGGTAGGCGCGGCATGGGCACTTGGCAATGGGTGTTGGGCAATGGGTGTTGGGCAATGGGTGTTGGGCAATGGGTGTTGGGCAATGGGTATTTCTCAATGGGCGCATGGTGGCGCGTCTCAAACCACAACCATCATCCTTGTAGCGCCACTGCGATTACCTATCGCATTGCGACATGGTCTCCGCTTCCTCGTCGAACTTATCACCCGATCCGGACAGCAGGACAGCGGCCGGACTCACGACTTCCTAACATGCCACGCATGGCATGCGGCATCCTGCGAGCGGTTATCGCTCGAGGAAGATCAATCATTCATAATGGGAGTGGCATACTATACTATACGGTTAAGAGAAAAACTGTAGCGATGTAAAACACTTATTAGTTTACTTTTCGAGATTGTAATAATTATATCCTGAATAAAAGCATCTTAACGCTATCCATACATGTAGCTCGAATACCACCCGCTTGCAGGGATGTCGCTTGCAGGATGTCGCCCGCAGGATGTCGCCCGCAGGATGTCGCATGCCGTACGTGGCATGTTGAGGCGTCGATAGTGCTCTCATACCACCCATATTGGCGTAATACCATAGCTGAATGGTAAATGAGCAATTGTAATCATTGCTGAAGGTCACGTGCAATCATATCACGGCAAGCAAATGTCAATGATAATTTAGCTTTTTTTTAAAAAATTTATTTGTTCCGGGTACCATATATAAAGGGGAAAGTTCTTTTTCATCAGCAGGTCGCCATTGTTCTAGATCATCCTTTACCACCTCTCGCTCACCAAGACTTCAGCTGTTTGAACTTCAAAAAAACAATGTGTAACGAACATGTTATTCACTTCACGTGCCTTCATTCTTTTTGTTTTCGGCGCAGCTGTGCTTGTAAAACAACCGCAGGATGTATCTTCCAAACGAACTCCCAGCGTTACTAAACAACATGTAACCAAGCATGGTGTTCCTCTATCCCTGGACACACTCTCCACGATATTATTTCTTGCGGCCCACGGCCATTGTCTGCATACATTCTTGAGAACGAGGATCCTTTTTTCCCAGATCTCGTTGCCGATGTTTGCATCGATGTCTACAGTAACCCGTTAGTAATCCTTCTCCATTTCAAATATATAATCATTGACTAGCCACTAGAGATTGGGAAAACCCTGACTGTCAGACTACTCGACACAAGTGGGTATCCTGCTTGGCATTTTCTATTCCCAAACATACCAAACAACCTGCGTCCACAAACCCATATGCAACATCATCCCAACAACCTGAAAATTCAATACAATTCCAGCCCGACCTTTCCACAGAACACCAACCCTCAGTCGAGGACCAATCAGCAGATCACCAACCTTCAAAACAGTACCAACCCGAAAGCTTAACAGAGTCCCACCCTGGGCCTTCGTCGGGCCTACAACTCTCACCAAAGACAGACCCTTCCGCATGGTCCCTGAAATTACCCCGGATGAAATACCCCCGCGATACTACCCGTCAAGCAAACAAGAACGGCCCCTCGGGGGTGTTGAAGGCCCAATTGAAAAAGAAAGGGCTCGGGCAAAAGTCTCGACTTTCATACGTCGAGTCAGTCCCGCAACTTCTTGAACCAACTCCTATCCCGACTTGAGCGCTTCCCGCGGTCACGCCAAGCTTACTTGGACAACTCGGCGAGCAACCACTGAATCCCCTTGGTAGTGGTTACTATCCACCCCCCGGGAATTCTTGTCCTCTGTGTATACCTGCAATGTCGGTTCAATATAGACTCCTCCCCCCCCCCCCCCCCCCTCAATTTCAATACGCTCCTGCGCTCTCACAATCCTCTTGGTAATGGCATTGTGACCCCATCATTGCGTTCTAGTTATACAATTACACCAGCCTATCTCCCTTCCTTTGTGAATTCCTTTGAGGTCAGCACCGCTTTTGTTCCATTTATACTTCGATTACTTCCCTCGACACCCTCGCACTACTATTTTACCTTAAGATACTTTGCTAGATATGATATCTCCTTCGAACATAAATAAGTACTCATCCAACCATAAAGTGAACACTCGAGTTGATGTCTAAATACAACAGTGGTCTCATTACCTATATCAATGACCCAAGAGAAAAACAATCACTCCGCGCGAGAGCCGGTTTGGCGTCGGCGTGAAATCCGCTTTCTTTTTCTTTGCGTGTGTCTTTCCGCTAACATCAACCTTGGCAACCAGTTCCGGCACCCTTGCACCCGCTTGGCCGTGTAACCAGGAAGAGGGTACTGAGCTTCAAGAGCGCGTTGCAACTCGTTCTCCGCCGACAGCCGCTCCTGTTCTGGAAGCTCCGTCCAGCTAGATTCCGTTGTAGCCCATTCTGGTCTAGCTCTCCATACATCACTCACGTCTACAGAGTCGGTCAACAAAACACAAAACATCTCGAGTGTTATGCATCCGACTTACGATCTTGAAGAGGCTTCCTGCTGATTCTCTTCGAGCCTATGCCTAAAGTTTCAAAGAAAAATCCAGGCTTTTGCCTTTCCGCATACGGAGGAAGTGGGACCTCGGGGGGTGGGCGCAAATCCGGGCCCTCAGGCAGAGGTGTTGAACTACAGGAGTGAGGTGTTGCGGCATGAATATCGTCTGATGCAATAGAAGCACCCAGTGGTGGATCGGAAACAGGGGGAGATGTATTCGTAGATGGATCAGGTGGAGTGAAGGTATCCATCGAGGGATTAAAAACAGACGAAGATGGGATAGAGGGCTGCGATGATGGTGAATTGGACATTGTGCATAAACTAGTATGGAGAGAATGAACTGCTTTCAACTCGTGATGCACGCTCAGTTTTGAAAACGATGAAATTAAAAGATGGCAGGTGAAAGGCGGCAGGTGAAAGGTGGCAGGTGAAAGGCGGCAGGTGAAAGGCGGCAGGTGAAAGGCGGCAGGTGAAAGGCGGCAGGTGAAAGATGCCAAGTGAAAGATGACAGTGGCAGGTTAGAGGGTATTGGGGAGACGATAGCCTTTTTATGTCCCGAAATGTGCGTTATTCTGGGAACAGCTACAGGGCGGTTAAACTTAAATGCATGCATGCCAATGTGCGTACTGTCAGCAGGTTCTAGCTACCAATGTGCGCACTGCCAGCAAGTTCTGTTTAGGAAGAGACCTGCAATTATTCAACCAACAAGACGTGTAGAGTTTTCTTTTTTATTAATATAATTTTCAGAAAAAAACACAAAAAAAAAAAAAAAAAAAAAATTCAATGCGCTAGCTATCAAAGGAACGTGTACGAAACAGTGAGCAGACAAAAACGGAAACAACAGATCAAGAGGAAAAAACAGAAGAAAGTGCATCATTTGGCATACCGAGAGCTAGGCGAGGGTAGCGAGCAGGGATGGTTGTACTCGGCTCCGCGTTTATGAGTTGTGAACAAATCTGGACCTATGCGTGCTTTTGGCATTGGGTGGTTGCCTTCGGTTTCTAGCGGTGACGCAATAGTATAGATGTCGTTCTCCCTTGCCGTTCGGGGTCTAACGATGCAAAGATTGAAAGCAGAGGCGATAAAAGGTTCCGATCGTAACTTACAACAACAGTAGGTAGGCTACTCAAACGAAGTGAGGTCCTCGAATATATTTGTTCAAAGGAAGTGAGGCCGGGCCAGAGTAGGTACATATACTGCACTGTAGCGCCTGGTTGCCCAGGGTTCGAGCTGTGCTTACTATGATTAGCTTCGGCAACGACAGATTGCAGGGGCAATAGGTGGGTGCAAGGTATGTGTTCAGATAAGCGCCATGACTAGGCGTTGGTCGTTGATCGGACTCATATTCTCCATCGGGGTGAGACGCTGTTTGAGTTTGGATGATAACGAAAACTGAAGAATATCACGAGGACCGTCGGCGATAGACTGTGGTGCCAAGGAATACAACCTCGGTAGTAACGTAGACGTGGACGTAGACGTAAAGGTATACTTTGACTATGGACTATGAGGTGGCTCTACCTGGTATGATAAACCGGTTGGAGCCCTATGACGTAGTACGGACAAAGAATAGTATTCGTAGAATAAATACAGAAGAAGAAGAAGAAACTTATATTGCATTGAAGTACAAGACTTATCGCACGCCGACCCAACCGCCTAAAACACAAATCAAACCGAACAAAAGAAAGAAAGAAAGAAAAGAAAACAACAAACATAAACGCAAACGAACAAGAACAAGAACAAAACAAGCACAAGCGAGCACGAATAGTAACAAGGAAATTCCAGAACAATACTCGACCAGAAAACCCAACGACAAGGAGAAATAACATATCTCAGCGGACTCGAGCGCTGGACCCATCAAAAACAGAACATAAAACCAAATTTAAAGAGTAAAAGGAAACTGCCCTTCCTAATCCCGTCCCTAATCATTTTCTTCCCTCCCCTCTTCCAGGTCCGCCTCTGCCTCCGCCGACTCGTACCATTTTGAGAGTTGAGATTGTTTTGCAAATTGTAGGATGAGGTCCGTTCTCAGGTTTGTAAACATCCAGTTTTCCCAGGTCATCGCTCCGGGGATCTTCTCTATCAGGGGGGTGCGGATTCGAGCCCACGCTGGGCATTCCATGAGTATGTGTTTCGCTGAGTTTTCCATACCACACTGGCATGGTTCGGGGTCTGTATATACTGCGTGTTTGTCGATTCGGGTGGTTTGGCACCGGATTCGAAATACTTTTTTTGCTTCCGTAAGGGTGAGTTTCGCTATCTTGGGAGGGGGGCGGAATTCCCCCCGGTGGTGGTAGTTCGGTATTGATTGTGTGTTCCATTCTTCCAACAGGTGGTCGCGTAGTAGTTTATTTTGGTTCCACTTATCTCTCGCATTTCCGGGGGTCTGGTATGGGAGTAGTAGGGAAGCGATTCGGTGTAGGCCTGTTCCTTTGATATTTGCTTCTTTGTAAGGGAGGAGCTCGATCAGGGATTCATTGTTGGGGTGGGTTGCCTCGGAGCAGAGTATTCTGGTTCCGTACTTTCTTGAGCGATATGTCAGGAGGTGTTCTAAGGGGGATAGGCCTGCTTCTCGGAGGAGTTTAGCTCTTTTGGTCCATCGTGCTAGGCCAGTGATGATCCGGGCCGCTTCATTATATAGTGGTTCGAGGGATCTTATAATGTGGTCTGCGCCAGTCCACCAAGCCTCGGATCCGTAGAGTAGGCTTGGGAGGAAGCCTTGTGTTATGATATGATGGATTGTTTTGACCGTTATGCCTGGCAAGCGGGCAGTGTATCGAATCTGGTGGAGGGCTTTAAGGCCTTTTGCGATCGCTGCTTCGATGTGGGGCCGGAAGGAAAGGGTCGGATCTATCCAGACTCCTACATATTTCAGTCTTTCCTTGGGGTGTATATTGATATTGTTAACTTTGACTGGAAGTCGTGGGTGTTGTGTGGATGATGTGGTGAGCCGGAAGAAGATCAGGTCGGATTTATCCGGGTCGTATTTAATTTGGAGTGGCTCAGCTTTTATTAGTCTCTCTCTCATTCGTTCCTCCAATCTCTTGATTGTGAAGCCTGGTGTTTTGGATATTTGTACCAGCGCGTCGTCATCGATGTAAGTAGTGTCCATCTCTTTCGGGCTGCTTGTTGGGTCCAGGATTACTCCAGCATAGATCATAAATAGCACCGGGGACATGGGGCTACCTTGCGGCACTCCAGAATCATAGGGCTGTGGTTCTTCTAGCTCATGGTTGAATTTAAACTGTAGTTTTCTGCCGGTATTGAATTCCTTGCACCATTCTGTTAAGTAGGTAGGGAATTTTTGTTGTTGCATGATTTCCGCGAGGAGTAGGTAGTCAACGCAGTTAAATGCTCCTTGGATATCATTGGTTAGGATCGCTGGTCTGTCTCGCCGAGCGACTCCGGTACTGTTTTTCAGTAGTAGGTTTTGTTGTATTGGCGTTAAGGTTCTCAGCAGGGCGTCGATTGCCGAGATGGTTGGTCTTCCCCCAAATTGATTCGCTGAGAGTGTGCCTAGAATTTCTCCAGCGGTGCAGAGTCTTTGGGCCACTATCTTCTCCAGGATTTTGCTGAAACATTGTAGAAGGGAAATGGGCCGGTAGGCTTTTGCTTCATGATAGTTTGCTTTACCGGGTTTCGGGATCGGGATACACTTAGCTATTTTCCATTCCGCTGGGTGTACGCCGTGCCGGAGCATGGCGGAGAACATGTCTTGGATTAGAGTTGTGTTTGCTTTGACTATTGCTTTAATAAAGGTATAAGGAATGCCATCCGGGCCGGTCGCCGAGTGCGCTGGACAGGAGTCGATTGCTTTATTAAGTTCTTCGGGGGTGACTATGTCGAAGGTGTTGCTAAGGTCAAAAGAAGGGGGTCTAATGTTTAGGGGGGGGGTGGTCGGGGGACGTCCGTTTCGAGGGGAAAAGTTGGGCTCTTAGAGCTTGGCACTTCCCCGCAAACGTTTCTTCACCTTGTATGGTTGGTATGATTGTGTCTCTTCTTCTTCCTACGTTTAGGATTCTCCAGACTTCACTACCTTTCGCCTCGTTCATCGTCTTTTCCCGCTGATCCGCTTTTGCTTTCCGGATCATGACTGTCCATTCTCTGCAAGCCTTCCGGTGTTCCTCCACGTGATTGGGTTTCCTTGTGTTCCTCGCCTTCCTTTCTGCTGCATTTACCTTTGCCTTCATTTGTTTCATTTCATCTGACCACCAGGAGTTGGCTCTTACCCCCTCCTTCGAGAGCGGTGTTACTATGCTGACTGTTGACCTGACCAGTTCTAGAAAGAAATCAACAGTCTGTTCCGTAAGTTCCTTGGTTTCCCATGCCTCTGCAGGGATGGAAATGTTTGACATGTGGTTTTCCAATAGCTTCCAGTCTGTTTGTCGCCACATTCGTCTTGGTACAAAAGGTGGTTTCTCCAAGTGTAAGTGAACGGAGGTTCTCCCATGGTCTGAGCCCGCTCCGTAGGGTTCAGTGCTCCATCGTAGGTTATGATCGAGTATTGGGCCTTTTACAAATGTAAGGTCGATGGTTGTGGGCCTTTTCCCTCTGTCTCTGGGGAAATGCGTAAAGACGCCTGGTTCGTTCAGGAGGGACAGTTTCTGTCGGGTTATCCATCGTTTTAGTCGTGCACCATTGACGCGGTCTGCTCGAATATTGTTTCTGTATTCATGTGAATTTACTCCGTACCACATTTGGTGGTGGCAGTTGAAGTCTCCCATTACTAGACAATTATCAAGGGTTTGGATTGTACTTGCTATTTGAGCGAAGGGGCCACTTCGGCCTGGGGAGTATATGTTTAGGATTTGGGTTTTCTTGTTCTGGATTTCTACCGTAATCGATACTATAAAATTATCGTGTGTGTAGTGGTGTTTTGGTTTGAGGTTGGCGTGTTTGCGGACGTATGTTGCGCATTTTGTATTGGTATTGCTGGCTGTAAAAATATAAAAGAGATTTGATTCTGGTGGGTATCCCTCTGCTGAGGTCCATGGTTCTTGTAATAATAGGAAATAAATACTAGAGTCTGTTTCCGCTTCTTCTACCGCCGCCTTGGTAATGAGTTCGCTCCGTGCACAATTGAGTTGGTGTGCGAGCGCGGTGGTTCGAGGCATAAGCATTATTTGTCATGGGTTGGTCATCTTCGGGAATGGGTGTGGCTCCGACTGGGGTGGTGGCTGGTACTTGAACTATTGGAAGCAGCTCCTGGACGGGTGCGGCCGGTGGGTCTTGAGCGGGTGGGGCATTTTCCTTCCCTTTATTGAGGAATCGGCGTTTGGCTCTCTCGGGGCATGCTGGGTCGGAGGCCTTATGAGCTCCTTTACAGTTCAGGCATCTAATTGGAGTGTGGGTGCATCTATATCCTCCCTGGCATTGATTGCATGGGTGAAAACTGGTAAGATGATCTCCGGCGCAGTGGCCGCATTTCCCATTGTTCTTACATTTCTCTTGGCGGTGGCCGTACTCGAGGCACTTTGCACACTGAGTATCCGGGAAGGTTGGGAGGAAGGCCTCGATATGGCAGCTTCGGTTGAAGAGAGATAGGAATTTAACTCCTAGTGTTTCCATTGTAATTTGTCCTGGGAGCGCGATGACCATTGATGAGTGGGTTTTCTCCATTCGAGTCTCTGCTCTGGAGATCCAGCGGGGAATCTGTGCAAGTTGGAAGTTCTCTCCATAGTTGCTTCTGATTTCTGATGCTACCAATTGTCCCGCCTCGATGCCCTCCCTGACCGTTGTGGGAATTCCATGGAGGAGAAACTTTGACCATTTAGAGTTTGCGCGGATGACAGTGACCGGTACCTGTAGGGTGAGGAGGGCCTCCTCAATTTCTTTGGCATATTCCATTGCCTTTGTTGCAGGGGTGACGAACTTTGTTTCCAGGATGAAGTTGTCCTTGGGTGTTCTCCTTGCTGAAATGAAATGGCAGGATTCGTCCTGAATCCTTGCATTGACTAGGGTCCTGATCTCAGAGGGGTTGACATCGGATGGGGCAGTGGTTTCAACAATGATCTCCCTGTTGATTTTGGTGTATTCTGGTTTGAAGAGGGGGTCCGCTTTTGGCTTTGCGGACTTCTTTTTCCTCTCGACAACCTGGAAGTTTCCTTGGGCAGGGCCGGGTGCCGAGGCCACGGCGGCCCAGGTGCCTGCCTTCCATCCCCGGAGTGGGGCTTGTTGGGGGGGTGCGGGTAGGGGGGCCCGATGAGCTGCCTGTGGCGCTGCTTGGGGAACTGTTTGTGGGACCGCTGGAGGGGGCATTCTCTGTCCTTGCGGTTGTTGTGGTTTTCGCTGTTGTTGCTGTTGTTGCTGTTGTTGCTGTTGTTGCGGTTGCTGCGGTTGCTGCGGTTGCGGTTGTTTGCTGAGGAGGGCGTGGATCGCCGAATGCATATTGGTGATCATATGTGTCTGCGCCTCGATCTGGTGTCTCAGTGTATCCACTGTTCTCCGGAGTGTAGTTGTTTGCTCTTCGAGGATTTCAATCCTGTCGGAGGGTGGGCAGATCCGGCTGGTAGCATGTCTGATGGCCCAGGTGATATAGTTCAGGTCCGTCTGGGTGTGGGTGTCCTGGGGGACAATGCTCGGGTAGAGGTAGTCAATTCTTGGTTGGTATGGGTCGTTGTAGTCGGATTCTGTTGCAAAGGTCGAGGAGAATTCCTGTTCCTGAGCTCCGGATGGGGTTGGGTTGGGGACCGGAGTGTTCCTGTTCTGCGGGGGGGCTGTCCCTTGCTGGAAAGACTGGGTAAAAAAGGACTGGAGCAAAGCTTGCTGCGACATGATTGAATGTCCAGTTCTTCTGGCGGCGTAGAGTGATGTTTCAGAAAGGTTTCTTTTCCTTCCTTTCGGGAGGTCAAGGCTGGAGAATTCTTCGCTAGAAGCCAGTTTTTGTGGTGTTTCTTTCGCTAGGAACAACAAACGCGACCGTACGATCGGGGACAAAGTGGCTCAACCTGGTATGGTATACCAGGGTAAACCGAAGGGAATAAAATAAAAGTGTTTTTGAAGCGAGGTTTGTTATCAGGGAGTTCTTTGCGAGCCTTAGCGAGCAAGTAGAATACAGAAGAAGAAGAAGAAACTTATATTGCTTAGAAGCCGAAGCTTATCGCACACCTAACTACCCGACTACAACCTCCACCGACTAACCCGAAAGCAAAAACGAAGTACAAAAACTAACTACCGCGGCTACAAGAACTGCGTACATAATAAAACAAAAACAGCGCACGAAGAGGGCGCGAATAACAAGTGGTACAGGTAAGCAGAATCTAAGCGACAACAAAGAAACCTCCCCGTAGTAAAAGTAAGAACCCCAAACTTCTCCGTCAACTGCATTAGCGAGCACAATCCTAAACGTAGTGTTCAATCGAAACGATATCATTACCAACGTTCCCGGTGTCATATCTGTGGACGAACCTTAACAGGACTGGGAAACCACGCGCACGAAGGCAGGAGAGGCCAACCGCAACAGCGTCAGGTGTGAAAGCGAGGGGGGGTGGGTCGAGTGTGGGTCCTCGGGCTTCTGGTTGTCAGGCAGCGAGGAATTGAGGAGTGGTGACCGGTTGGTCAAGTAAGGAGTGGGTGGGGTCGTCGGTCCCTGGAGCAACGGCTAAAGACTGTGCCCGAGTCGTGTTTGAAGTGGTGTCCTCTGGAGGGGACATGCAAAAAGGGTTGAGCCGAAGGCTCAGTATGTATGGGGGTCGCAATCGAAAGTGCCGACCGTGTTGTGTTGAGGGTGGTCTCGGAGACCGGTTGGGTTGGGGTGAGGGGAGCGGGCCGCCTCGGGTAAAAGTGGGTGGCCTGGTTAAGGCCGATAAAGAGGGGTAAGGTCACGGGACCTCGGGTAAAAAATTTGACGATAGTTTCGCGACCGAGAGGTCGCTAACTTCGCGGGCTGTCGAGCGCTTTGGCAGTAGGTTCTCGCTGACTGGAGATTACTGACAGTGTGCGTACCCAACGTGTGGGATCACTCGTGCGATGAGTGAAAGTAAGGAGGGGCGAAGGCGGCTTTCGAGAGTAGCCGCTGGTTTGGCGAGGGGTGAACGGTGGACGCATCCCGTGAGGGCACCGAACGAGCAAAGAATGGGGGTGTCGAGCGAGGGAAGTTCAGGGACCGAAGCAATTCGAGAATCAGTATAACTCCATCTCGGGGGGAAGAAATCCTACCGCGAGCCAGAGGCGAGCGGGTAGAATACAGAGGTTGCATAAGGAAAGAAGAGAAGAAGGAAAACAGACAAAAACACAAGACAACACCCCCTTATATATCCATCCATAATCCAACGATGACTAATACCTTCGCGTAACAGAAACCAAAAGAACATAATAGAAATTCCCATTACAAATCCTAACTCCACTGCACAATACCTCCTTCCCTCGTTCCAATTTATCACCTAGCCAGAATTACCTAATTGCCGTTACAGACCACGCCCCCCTCTAAGGCCTACCTCCTGGTAGGCTTAGGCTTCCCTGGATAACGCTCATGGAATCGTTTAACAATATCAGGTGAATGCTCAAGGTCCGATAGTGGTTGCCAGGAGGCTTCATCATATCCTCTATATCGTACCAAATACTCAAACCTTCCTCTTCGTTTCCTCGAATCCAAAATATTTTCGGCTTCCCATTCTTCTTCTCCTTCGATCTCAACCGGAGGTGGTGGTAACTGTTGTTGTCCCGGTAAGGGATCATTCGCATCAGGTGACAGTAATGAAACATGAAATACTGGGTGAATTTTCATTGACCGGGGAAGTTCCAACTCGTAAGCGTAGGGATTAACAATGCGCTTAACACTATAAGGTCCAATACGTTTCCAGTCGAATTTCTTGGAAGGTCGTTTGGTTAGAATATGACGAGTCGATAGGAAAACTTTATCTCCTAAATGGTACCGAGGAGCTGGAGTTCGATTCTTGTTGGCTGATTCTTCTTGTATCCTTTGCGCTCGAAACATCTCTTCTCTTAGGAAATCTATTACATCCTTCATTTCTCTTGCAATACGGTTCGCTTGATCCTCAGCTGTTGTTCGACCATGTTCCAAAGGGCCAAAAGTCATTCTTGGATTTCTTCCCGAATTGGCATAGAACGGGGAGACCTTTGTTGTTTCGGAAGCATGGTTGTTTGTCGCAAATTCGGCCATTGGTAGCATTCGAGCCCAATCATCTTGTTGGTAGGAAACATAACTTCGGAGGTACTGTTCCATTACGGCATTGATTCTTTCCGTTTGTCCATCTGTTTGGGGGTGAAATGCAGTAGAGAATTTTGGTGATATTTCCAACCGATTACAAAGCGACTTCCAGAATTCTGCAACGAACTGTGTTCCTCGATCAGATACAATGGTATCTGGTAGTCCATGCAGCTTCCAAACATGATCGATATATAGCTTCGCTACTTCCTTTGAATCTGCCTCTTTGGTCGTTGGTATTAGATGCCGCATTTTGGTTAGTCTATCCACCACGACCAAAATCGGATTATACCCATCACTCTCAGGAAGATCAGTCACAAAATCCATCGAGACATCTGTCCAGGGTCCATCGGGAATTGGCATGGGGCGAAGTACTCCATAAGGTGCATTGTGTGATGCCTTGCTACAGGTGCACACATTGCAATTCCTAATATACTGATCGACGAACTTCCGCATCTGTGGCCAATAGTATTCTCGACTTAGAAGCTCTAGAGTCTTCGCTCTACCCGGATGTCCTGCAGATGGTTTATCATGGTATTCTTTTAAAAGCCTTAGTCGAAGGTCATCGTCGTCTGGTACATATAGCATGCCTCGATAAAGCAGCCGACCGTTGTTATCTTCCGTACATTCGGCAAGCGAGATTTTATTTGAGTGACGTATGCCATTCCGAAGCATATTGAGGACCTTGTTTGGAAAACTATCTACTTGGTAAGCTTTTGAAAATAACTCCTCTACAGTGGACGCTCCTTCAGCGGATTCATTTCATAAAGAACCCGCGAACAAACTTAGCTTAATATCCAAATTTTTTCGCTTCAGAATCACTTGACTCTGATGCGTCAACCTTTCATCCCCCTCTTTAGGTAGGTCACCTGACCTCCTAGTCAATGCATCTGGTTTTGTTCCTTGTTTTCCTGGCCGAAATTGTATAACGAAATCGAAGCGTGAAAGAAATTCAGACCAACGGGCTTGTCGACGATTTAACAATTTTGTTGTCATAAAATATTCAAGATTCCGATGGTCGCTAAGAACTTCAATTGGAAATTGAGCTCCCTCCAGGTGATGTCGCCATTCTTCGAAACATCGTATAATTGCTAAAAGTTCTTTATCATAGATTTCGTAGTTGCATTCTGCAGGAGAATGTTTCTTGGAAAAGAAAGCGACTGGATGTAGGATTCCTTCGTTGTCACGTTGAGATAGGATTCCTGCTGAAACATAGTCGGATGCATCGGTTTCTATTACAATTTTTCGATCCGGATTAAAATGAGTTAGTATTGGTGCCGTTGTAAACATTTTTTTTAAAGTTTGAAATGCTTCCTCCCTTTCATTCGTCCATTCAAATTTAACGTTTTTCTTTGTTAAAGCTGTAAGTGGAGCAACAATTTTTGAATATCCTAGAATAAATCGTCGATAGAAATTTGCAAATCCTAAAAATACTTGAACATCACGAAGGTTTGTCGGTGTGGTCCATTCCAAAACATCGACAACTTTCTTTGGGTCCATTCTATTCCCATCCGGAGTAAGGATTAGACCAAGGTATTTTGTTTCCTGAACCATAAATTCACATTTTTCAGGTTTAAGGTGAACATGATTCTTATCAAGTACCTTTAGAACCCTTTGAATATGTTCTTTATGTTCTGATAGGGTCTCGGAATAGATAAGGATATCGTCTAAATATGCCGTTACGAATTGATCGAGGTAGGGACGTAGAATATCATTGATCCAATGCTGAAATATGGCAGGGGCATTAGCTAATCCAAACGGCATTACTGTATATTCGAAATGTCCATATCGAGTCCGGAACGCCGTTTTCCATTCGTCTCCTTCTGCTATCCTGATTTGATTATATCCCCATCGTAAGTCCAACTTAGTATAGTACTGTGCCCTTGATAACTTAGCCAGGGTTTCTTTCAACAATGGTAATGGATATCGATTTTTGATTGTAATCGCATTTAGGCCTCGATAGTCAACACAGAGTCTAAGGGTTCCATCGCTTTTCTTCACAAATAGTATGGGTGCTCCCGCTGGTGATTCACTGGCTCGAATAAATCCTTTGGGTAAATTTTCATCAAGATATTCTCGTAGTGCTTTTAACTCAATTTGAGATAATCCATATATGGGTCCATATGTAATGGCAGCTATGTATTTCGGCTAGGTGATGAACTGGGATGAGGGAAGGAGGTATCGTGCAGTGGAATTAGGATTTGTAATGGGGATTTCTGTTATGTTCTTTGGGTTTCTGTTACGCGAAGGTATTAGTCATTGTTGGATTATGGATGGATATATAAGGGGGCGTTGTCTCGTGCTTTTGTCTGTTTTCCTTCTTCTCTTTCTTCCTTACGCAACCTCTGTATTTATTCCACGAATACTATTCTCTGTCCGCACTACGTCATAGGGCTCCAACCGGTTTATCATACCAGGCAGAGCCACCCCATAGTCCATAGTCAAAGCATACCTTTACATCTACGTTCACGTCTACGTCACTACCTAGGTTGTATTCCTTGGCACCACAGTCTATTGCCTACAGTCCCCGTGATACGTAGGTTGCGTCCTCTATCGCCAACCAATACAACACCATAGCCTACAATGTCGGAACATGTCCATGTCGATTATCAACAACTCAACGATAACCTCCAAAGATTTTTTGAAGCGCATCCACAGGTCGATCATGTTGTCGGAGCTGAAGCTTATGCGCTTCTTCAACAGTGTCAAAATGGTCTTACTCAATATGCAACGGATTTACAAGAGGTAGAAGCGGAGGCTGAGAGGGCAAGAAGAATGTTTGAACGAGATCTTACTGCTGCCCGAGCTCAACAAACTGCTGTTCAGATTGTGGCCCCTGACGAAGAACCTATTGGAAATAATGCTCCACCTGTACCCCCAGCACCACCAGTTACCGGTACCACCTATCGGTCGGAGAAACTCCCAGACCCCGACGTGTTCAGGGGGGATCGTGACCGGGAAAGGCTACACTTATTCAAGCAACAAATGAAACTTAAGCTATTAGGAAATGCCGATCGCTATCCTACACTACAGTCTAAGTTATCGTACGCGTTCAGCAGATTGGAAGGTGCTGCTGCCAATCAGTTTTTACAGTACATGGGAGAAGAAGGTATTGCCTTACCTTCTATGACACGGTTTTATGAGATTCTGGATACAGCTTTTGGAGACCCCGATCGAATGCGTACAGCTAGAAGAAATCTTCGGAACATCAGACAACGCACTCGAACCTTTGCCGATTATTTTGCTGAGTTTCAACGGTATGCTGCTGAGTCGGGTATGGATGAAGTCTCTCGGATTGAGGCTTTGATGGAAGGAATTAATGGGGAACTGGACGAATCGATGATACACCATGAGACTCCTGCAACGGTAGATGGTTGTGCAACACTCTTGCAACGATTGGATAACCGACGACGGGCGGCGGAAGCTAAGCGAGGTAGTAAAAAACCTTGGACTACTACTGCGACCCCGGCTCCGCGCCCTCCACCAACAAATCCTGTTCCTGCTCCCCGTCCTGCTGCCCCTGCTGCCAACCCACCTGCTACTGAGAATCACCCCTCATTCCGTCCTGGAGGTGATGTACCCATGGACCTGTCTGGAGGACGTCGTCGCCCTACCCCTGCCGAAAGAAACGCCCGATTAGCTGAGGGCCGATGTTTCTATTGCGGAGGTGTCGGGCATATGGTTAGAAATTGCCCCCAAGCGAGGGCAACTGGAAATCAACCAAGGAGGCCTGTGATGAGAGGAGCGGCGTTGACAGTGGAAGAAAATGATGGAAGCGATAATGAGTCGGCAAAAGATTTGTCCCTGCACTAAGTGGCTTAGCCCAGGGACCGTTTAAGGATTTTTCTAAGATGTGTATTTCTGGTTTTTCGGTATCAGAGGAGGAAATGGATGGAAATCAACTTGTAGTAACTTGTTCGATTTCACAGAATAAAAATTCGTTTATACCTACCTACGCCCTTATTGATACCGGAGCATCAGGATATGCTTTCATTGATGAATCCTTTGCACGCCACAACAATCTTACAATGACCCCCCTTAAAATACCTCGCCATGTAGACGTTATAGACGGAAGGCCTATTAAGTCAGGAAAAATTACCCATATTGTCGATGTCTCGCTAGACATTCATGGTCATCGGGAGACGGCGCCATGTTTTGTAACGAAGTTAGGACACTATCCGATTGTGATGGGGACACCTTGGATGCGACGACATGATGTTACGATTCGACCAAAAGAAAATCTACTTGTTTTTGACTCTCGAAGCTGTTGTCAACACTGTTCACTCAGTGGAACTGCAGTTATTGTTCATGGTATCTCGATCCCCTTACCGGAACACCATACAGTCATCGTTTCAGCAACCGAGAAATCCACTATCGATATCGAACAATTAGTACCGAAAGAATTTCACCATCGTCTTCATATGTTCAAAGAATATGATGCTTCAATTCTCCCACCACATCGACCATCCCATGACATCGAGATAGTATTAGAGGAAGGCAAACGACCACCATATGGACCTATATATGGATTATCTCAAATTGAGTTAAAAGCACTACGAGAATATCTTGATGAAAATTTACCCAAAGGATTTATTCGAGCCAGTGAATCACCAGCGGGAGCACCCATACTGTTTGTGAAGAAAAGCGATGGAACCCTTCGACTTTGTGTTGACTATCGAGGCCTAAATGCGATTACAATCAAAAATCGATATCCATTACCATTGTTGAAAGAAACCCTGGCTAAGTTATCAAGAGCACGATACTATACTAAGTTGGATTTACGATGGGGATATAATCAAATCAGGATAGCGGAGGGAGATGAATGGAAAACAGCATTCCGGACTCGATATGGACATTTCGAATATACAGTAATGCCGTTTGGATTAGCTAATGCCCCTGCTACATTTCAGCATTGGATCAATGATATTCTACGTCCCTACCTCGATCAATTCGTAACAGCATACTTAGACGATATCCTTATCTATTCCGAGACCCTATCAGAACATAAAGAACATATTCAAAAGGTTCTAAAGGTACTTGATGAAAATCATGTTCACCTTAAACCTGAAAAATGTGAATTTATGGTTCAGGAAACAAAATATCTTGGTTTAATCCTTACTCCGAATGGGAATAGAATGGATCCAAAGAAAGTTATCGATGTTTTGGAATGGACTACACCGACAAACCTTCGTGATGTTCAAGTATTCCTAGGATTTGCAAATTTCTACCGACGGTTTATTTTGGGATATTCGAAAATTGTTGCCCCGCTTACAGCCTTGACAAAGAAAAACGTTAAATTTGAATGGACGGATGAAAGGGAGGAAGCATTTCAGACTTTGAAAAAGATGTTTACAACGGCACCGATACTAGCTCATTTTAATCCAGATCGAAAAATTGTGATAGAAACTGATGCATCCGACTATGTTTCAGCAGGAATCCTATCTCAACGTGACAACGAAGGAATTCTACATCCAGTTGCTTTCTTTTCCAAGAAACACTCTCCCGCAGAATGCAACTACGAAATCTATGACAAAGAGCTTTTAGCAATTATACGATGTTTTGAAGAATGGCGACATCATCTGGAGGGAGCTCAATTTCCAATTGAAGTTCTTAGCGACCATCGGAATCTTGAGTATTTTATGACAACAAAATTGTTAAATCGTCGACAAGCCCGTTGGTCCGAATTTCTTTCACGCTTCGATTTCGTTATACAATTTCGGCCAGGAAAACAAGGAACAAAACCAGATGCATTGACTAGGAGGTCAGGTGACCTACCTAAAGAGGGGGATGAACGGTTAACGCATCAGAGTCAAGTGATTCTGAAGCGAAAAAATTTGGATACCAAGCTAAGTTTGTTCGCGGGTTCTTTGTCAAATGAATCCGCTGAAGGAGCGTCCACTGTAGAGGAGTTATTTTCAAAAGCTTACCAAGTGGATAGTTTCCCAAACAAGGTTCTCAATATGCTTCGGAATGGCATACGCCACTCAAACAAAATCTCACTTGCCGAATGTATGGAAGATAACAACGGTCGGCTGCTTTATCGAGGCATGCTATATGTACCAGACGATGATGACCTTCGACTAAGGCTTTTAAAAGAATATCATGACAAACCATCTGCAGGACATCCGGGTAGAGCGAAGACTCTGGAGCTCCTAAGTCGAGAATATTACTGGCCACAGATGCGGAAGTTTGTCGATCAGTATATTAGGAATTGCAATGTGTGCACCCGTAGCAAGGCATCACACAATGCACCTTATGGAGTACTTCGCCCCATGCCAATTCCCGATGGACCCTGGACAGATGTCTCGATGGACTTTGTAACTGATCTTCCTGAGAGTGATGGGTATAATGCGATTTTGGTCGTGGTGGATAGACTAACCAAAATGCGGCATCTGATACCAACGACAAAGGAGGCGGACTCACAGGAAGTAGCAAGGCTATATATTGATAACGTCTGGAAGCTACATGGATTACCCGACACTATGGTATCCGATCGAGGAACACAGTTCGTCGCGGAATTCTGGAGGTCCCTTTGTGATCGATTGGAAATCTCGCCAAAGTTCTCTACTGCATTCCACCCCCAAACAGATGGACAGACAGAAAGAATTAATGCCATAATGGAACAATACCTCCGAAGCTATGTTTCCTATCAACAAGATGACTGGGTCCGATGGCTACCGATGGCTGAATTTGCAACCAACAACCACGTTTCCGAAACAACAAAAGTTTCCCCCTTTTATGCTAATTCGGGAAGGAATCCTAGGATAACATTTGGGCCTTTGGAACATGGTCGAACGACGGCGGAGGATCAAGCGAACCGTATTGCAAGGGAAATGAAGGATGTGGTGGACTTCCTAAGAGAAGAAATGTTCCGGGCGCAAAGGATACAAGAAGAATCAGCCAATAGGAATCGAACTCCAGCTCCTCGATATTATTTAGGAGATAAGGTTTTTCTCTCGACCCGTCATATTCTAACAAAGCGACCCTCTAAGAAATTCGATTGGAAACGTATTGGACCTTATAGCGTTAAACGAATCGTTAATCCCTATGCTTACGAGTTGGAACTTCCCCGGTCGATGAAAATTCATCCAGTATTTCATGTTTCGTTATTGTCACCTGAAGCGAATGATCCTTTACCAGGACAACAACGATTACCACCACCTCCGGTTGAAATCGAAGGGGAGGAAGAATGGGAAGTCGAAGATATTTTGGATTCGAGGAAACGAAGAGGAAGATTTGAATATTTGGTACGATATATGGGATATGACGAAGCCTCCTGGCAACCGCTATCGGACCTTGAACATTCACCTGAAATTATTAGACGATTCCATAAGCGTTATCCAGAGAAGCCTAAGCCTACCAGGAGGTAGGCCTTAGAGGGGGGCGTGGTCTGTAATGGCAGCTATGTATTTCGGCTAGGTGATGAACTGGGATGAGGGAAGGAGGTATCGTGCAGTGGAATTAGGATTTGTAATGGGGATTTCTGTTATGTTCTTTGGGTTTCTGTTACGCGAAGGTATTAGTCATTGTTGGATTATGGATGGATATATAAGGGGGCGTTGTCTCGTGCTTTTGTCTGTTTTCCTTCTTCTCTTTCTTCCTTACGCAACCTCTGTATTTATTCCACGAATACTATTCTCTGTCCGCACTACGTCATAGGGCTCCAACCGGTTTATCATACCAGGCAGAGCCACCCCATAGTCCATAGTCAAAGCATACCTTTACATCTACGTTCACGTCTACGTCACTACCTAGGTTGTATTCCTTGGCACCACAGTCTATTGCCTACAGTCCCCGTGATACCATATGGTGGTTTTTTGCCTTCCTCCAATACTATCTCGATGTCATGGGATGGTCGATGTGGTGGGAGAATTGAAGCATCGTATTCTTTAAACATATGGAGACGATGGTGAAATTCTTTCGGTACTAATTGTTCAATATCGATAGTGGGTTTCTCAGTTGCTGAAACGATAATTGTATGGTGTTCCGGTAAGGGAATCGAGATACCATGAACAATAACTGCAGTTCCACTGAGTGAACAGTGTTGACAACAGCTTTGAGAGTCAAAAACAAGTAGATTTTCTTTCGGTCGAATCGTAACATCATGTCGTCGCATCCAAGGTATCCCCATCACAATTGGATAGTGTCCTAACTTCGTTACAAAATATGGCGCCGTCTCCTGATGGCCATGAATGTCTACCGAGACATCGACAATATGGGTAATTTTTCCTGACTTAATAGGTCTTCCGTCTATAACGTCTACATGGCGAGGTATTTTGAGGGGGGTCATTGTAAGATTGTTGTGGCGTGCAAAAGATTCATCAATGAAAGCATATCCTGATGCTCCGGTATCAATAAGAGCGTAGGTAGGTATAAACGAATTTTTATTCTGTGAAATCGAACAAGTTACTACAAGTTGATTTTCATCCATTTCCTCCTCTGATACCGAGAAACCAGAAATACACATCCTAGAAAAATCCTTAAATGGTCCCTGGGCTAAGCCACTTAGTGCAGGGACAAATCTTTTGCCGACTCGTTATCGCTTCCGTCATTTTCTTCCACTGTCAACGCCGCTCCTCTCATCACAGGCCTCCTTGGTTGATTTCCAGTTGCCCTCGCTTGAGGACAATCCCTAACCATATGTCCAACACCTCCGCAATAGAAACATCGGCCCTCAACTAAGCGGGCATTTCTTTCGGTAGGGGAGGGGCGACGACGTCCTCCAGATAGATCCATTGGTACATCACCTCCCGGGTGGGATGAGGGATGACTTTCAGTAACAGGTGCATTGGCGACTGGGGCGACAGCGTGGGGAGTGGAAACAGGACTTGCTGGTGGAGGACGAGGGGCCGGAGTAGTAGTAGTAGTCCAAGGTTTTTTACTTCCTCGCTTAGCTTCTGCTGCTCGGCGACGATTATCCAACCGTTGCAGAAGTGTCGCACAAGCATTTACCGTTGCGGGAGTGTCATGGTGTATCATTGATTCATCGAGTTCCGCATTAATACCTTCCATCAAAGCCTCAATCCGAGAGACTTCATCCATACCCGACTCAGCAGCATATCGTTGAAACTCAGCAAAATAATCGGCGAACGTTCGATTTCGTTGACGGATGTTCCTAAGATTCCTCCTAGCCGTACGCATCCGATCGGGGTCCCCAAAAGCAGTATCCAAAATCTCATAAAATCGTAGCATAGAGGGCAAAGCAATGCCTTCTTCACCGACGTATTGTAAAAACTGATTAGCGGCAACGCCTTCCAATCTGCTGAATGCATAGGATAGTTTAGACTGTAGTGTGGGATAGCGATCGGCATTTCCCAATAATTTAATCTTCATTTGTTGCTTGAACAGGTGTAGTCTTTCTCGATCACGATCCCCCTTAAATACTTCAGGATCTGGGAGCTTCTCCGACTGATAGGTAGTATCTGTAGCGGGTGGTACTGGGGGTGCAGGTGGAACATTGTCTTCGACGGGTGCTTGCACAGGGGCGACGGTCTCAACAGGAGCCTGTTGAGCTCGGGCAGCAGCAAGATCTTGCTCAAACCTTCTCCTCGCCCTCTCGGCCTCCGCTTCTACCTCCTGTAAATCCGTTGCATATTGAGCAAGACCATGTCGGCACTGTTGGAGAAGTGCATAGGCTTCAGTTCCAACAGTATCATCGACCTGTGGATGCGCTCGAAAAAGGGCTTGGATACTATCGCTGAGTTGTTGATAATCAATAGATGCATGTTCCGACATTGTAAACTATGATATTGTATTGGTTGGCGATAGAGGACGCAACCTACGTATCACGAGGACCGTCGGCGATAGACTGTGGTGCCAAGGAATACAACCTCGGTAGTAACGTAGACGTGGACGTAGACGTAAAGGTATACTTTGACTATGGACTATGAGGTGGCTCTACCTGGTATGATAAACCGGTTGGAGCCCTATGACGTAGTACGGACAAAGAATAGTATTCGTAGAATAAATACAGAAGAAGAAGAAGAAGAAACTTATATTGCTTAGAAGCCGAAGCTTATCGCACACCTAACTACCCGACTACAACCTCCACCGACTAACCCGAAAGCAAAAAACAAAGTACAAGAACTAACTACCGCAGCTATGAGAACTACGTACACGATAAGAAAAACAGCGCATGAAGAGGGCGCGAATAACAAGTGGTACAGGTAAGCAGAATCTAAGCGACAACAAAGAAACCTCCCCGTAGTAAGAGTGAACCCCAAGCTTCTCCGTCAACTACATAAGCGAGCACAATCCTATACATAGTATTCAATCGAAACGATATCATTACCAACGTTCCCGGTGTCGTATCTGTGGACGAACCTTAACAGGACTGGGAAACCATGCGCACGAAGGCAGGAAAGGCCAACCGCAATAGCGTCAGGGTGGAAGCGAGGGGGGGTTGTTCAAGAGTGGGTCCTCGGGCATCTGGTTGTCAGGCAGCGAGGAATTAAGGAGTGGTGACCGGATGGTCAAGTAAGGAGTGGGTGGGGTCGTCGGTCCCTGGAGCAACGGCTAAAGACTGTGCCCGAGTCGTATTTGAAGTGGTGTCCTCTGGAGGGGACATGCAAAAAGGGTTGAGCCGAAGGCTCAGTATATATGGGGGTCGCAATCGAAAGTGCCGACCGTATTGTATTGAGGGTGGTCTCGGAGACCGGTTGAGTTGGAGTGAGGGGAGCGGGCCGCCTCGGGTAAAAGTGGGTGGCCTGGTTAAGGCCGATAAAGAGGGGTAAGGTCACGGGACCTCGGGTAAAAAATTTGACGATAGTTTCGCGACCGAGAGGTCGCTAACTTCGCGGGCTGTCGAGCGCTTTGGCAGTAGGTTCTCGCTGACTGGAGATTACTGATAGTGTGCGTACCCGACGTGTGGGATCACTCGTGCGATGAGTGAAAATAAGGAGGGGCGAAGGCGGCTTTCGAGAGTAGCCGCTGGTTTGGCGAGGGGTGAACGGTGGACGCGTCCCGTGAGGGCACCGAACGAGCAAAGAATGGGGGGTGTCGAGCGAGGGAAGTTCAGGGACCGAAGCAATTCGAGAATCAGTATAACTCCATCTCGGGGGGAAAGAAATCCTATCGCGAGCCAGAGGCGAGCGAGTAGAATACAGAAGAAGAAGAAGAAACTTATATTGCTTTGAAGTACAAGACTTATCGCACGCCGACCCGACCGCCTAAAACACGAACCAAACAAAAGAACGAAAGGAAAGAAAACAACAAACACGAACAAACAAACAAGAACAAAAGCGAACACGAACGAACATCAACAAGAATAAGGAGATTCCAGAACGACACCCAACCAGAAACAACCCAACGACAAGGAGAAATAACATATCTCAGCGAACTCGGGCGCTGGATCCATCAAAACAAAGTAAAAACCAAAGTTAAAAAGGTAAAAGGAAACCGCCCTTTCCTAATCCCGTCCCTAATCATTTTCTTCCATCCCCGCTTCTAGGTCCACCTCCGCTTCCGCCGACTCGTACCACTTCGAGAGTTGAGAGTTTTTTGCAAATTGTAAGATAAGGTCCGTTTTCAAGTTTGTAAACATCCAGTTTTCCCAGGTCATCGCTCCGGGGATCCTTTCTATCAGGGGGGCACGGATTCGAGCCCACGCTGGGCATTCCATAAGTGTGTGTTTCGCTGAGTTTTCCATACCACACTGGCATGGTTCGGGGTCTGTATATACCGCGTGTTTATCGATTCGGGTAGTTTGGCACCGGATTCGAAAAACTTTTTTCGCCTCCGTTAGGGTGAGTTTCGCAATCTTGGAAGGGGGGCGGAACTCCCCCCGGTGATGGTAGTCCGGTATTGGTTGTGTATTCCATTCTTCCAACAGGTGGTCGTGTAGTAGTTTGTTTTGGTTCCACTTGTCTCTCGCATTTCCGGGGGTTTGATATGGGAGTAGGAGGGAAGCGATTCGGTGTAGACCTGTCCCTTTGATGTTTGCTTCTCTGTATGGGAGGAGCTCAATTAGGGATTCATTGTTGGGATGGGTTGCCTCGGTGCAGAGTATTCTGGTTCCGTACTTTCTTGAGCGATATGTTAGGAGGTAATCTAGGGGGGGTAGTCCTGCTTCTCGGAGGAGTTTAGCTCTCTTGGTCCATCGTGGTAGGCCAGTGATGATCCGGGCCGCTTCATTATATAGTGGTTCGAGGGATCTTATAATGTGGTCTGCGCCAGTCCACCAAGCCTCGGATCCGTAGAGTAGGCTTGGGAGGAAGCCTTGTGTTATGATATGATGGATTGTTTTGACCGTTATGCCTGGCAAGCGGGCAGTGTATCGAATCTGGTGGAGGGCTTTAAGGCCTTTTGCGATCGCTGCTTCGATGTGGGGCCGGAAGGAAAGGGTCGGATCTATCCAGACTCCTACATATTTCAGTCTTTCCTTGGGGTGTATATTGATATTGTTAACTTTGACTGGAAGTCGTGGGTGTTGTGTGGATGATGTGGTGAGCCGGAAGAAGATCAGGTCGGATTTATCCGGGTCGTATTTAATTTGGAGTGGCTCAGCTTTTATTAGTCTCTCTCTCATTCGTTCCTCTAATCTCTTGATTGTGAAGCCTGGTGTTTTGGATATTTGTACCAGCGCGTCGTCATCGATGTAAGTAGTGTCCATCTCTTTCGGGCTGCTTGTTGGGTCCAGGATTACTCCAGCATAGATCATAAATAGCACCGGGGACATGGGGCTACCTTGCGGCACTCCAGAATCATAGGGCTGTGGTTCTTCTAGCTCATGGTTGAATTTAAACTGTAGTTTTCTGCCGGTATTGAATTCCTTGCACCATTCTGTTAAGTAGGTAGGGAATTTTTGTTGTTGCATGATTTCCGCGAGGAGTAGGTAGTCAACGCAGTTAAATGCTCCTTGGATATCATTGGTTAGGATCGCTGGTCTGTCTCGCCGAGCGACTCCGGTACTGTTTTTCAGTAGTAGGTTTTGTTGTATTGGCGTTAAGGTTCTCAGCAGGGCGTCGATTGCCGAGATGGTTGGTCTTCCCCCAAATTGATTCGCTGAGAGTGTGCCTAGAATTTCTCCAGCGGTGCAGAGTCTTTGGGCCACTATCTTCTCCAGGATTTTGCTGAAACATTGTAGAAGGGAAATGGGCCGGTAGGCTTTTGCTTCATGATAGTTTGCTTTACCGGGTTTCGGGATCGGGATACACTTAGCTATTTTCCATTCCGCTGGGTGTACGCCGTGCCGGAGCATGGCGGAGAACATGTCTTGGATTAGAGTTGTGTTTGCTTTGACTATTGCTTTAATAAAGGTATAAGGAATGCCATCCGGGCCGGTCGCCGAGTGCGCTGGACAGGAGTCGATTGCTTTATTAAGTTCTTCGGGGGTGACTATGTCGAAGGTGTTGCTAAGGTCAAAAGAAGGGGGTCTAATGTTTAGGGGGGGGGTGGTCGGGGGACGTCCGTTTCGAGGGGAAAAGTTGGGCT